TTGTAGAAAGTAAATGATACTTAAACACACGTTTGATTCTTTAGTTAATTTCTAATATCCAAATTTGTTTTTAAGTAAATTTCAAACATTTTTTAAGAAAAATAGTTTCAAGGTACAAAAGTATTGTTAAAGTGGTTGATCTATCTAACCAAAATTTTCTTAAAAATATAAACAAAGGAATAAAAAAAACAAACTAAAGAAGAAGTTGTCATCATGTTATATTATTATTTAGCTGCATTTTGTTCACCGCTTTATTGACATTCTCCATTATATTTTTGCAGCAAAGGGGAAAAGTTAACAAAAGAAGAAAGAATGGTTGTTGAGTTTTAGTTACAACTTTTGCTATGTAAGTAAGATCCTTTGTATTAGCTAGCTCATCATGTAGCAGAGTCACATGCTGCTCTGATTTTACTTATTTCTAACAAATAATCGACTGCCAGACAAAATCTGTTAGAGGCATATAATACATGCTATGATTTTTTTTTTTTTTTTTTTTTTTTTTTTTTTGTCATTGTGGACAATATTATCAAATACTAACGTCAAGAAGAAGAATAGAATCAAGCCTAAAATATTATGGCCACATCATCGAAACATTTATGATATATCATCATCCGTCATTTCAGAACGTAATTCTAAAACTTGTTCGACCACAAACAATATCTCTACACTTTGTCATTTATCTAAAACACACACAAGTTGTGAACTAGTTTTTTTGGTCCGAATAGTTAAAAATGTTTGGTGCCATTGATTGAATAAAACAAATTAATATATCTCTATATTAGTAAAAGAGAAGTACAAACTATAATACGGGTCGGATCAAAATTAAAAAATTAACCCGATTTCAACAATTGGATACTTCAAAATTAGATATTAAAATGGGTTTGGATACATACATCGGATACTTTCCATATCTAATTTTAAGATTATATTATTTCCATAACTAATTTTATGATTTCCTAATATTTCTCTAACTAATTTAATATAATATATTAAAACAATTATCATTCTTCTTTAACATTTATTTGATATTATTTAAAATTTATGATATTATACTATGTAATAAAAAAAAATTAATAAAAATTTTACTTTTTCATATGTTGCAATTTGAATTTTTCAAAACGGACATATAATACTAAACTACACTCGGTTAAATATTTTGGACAACGATTTAAAAAATAAGTATAACCAATATTAAAATCATTGTTACATGAGCATATTTAAAAGTTTCAAAATATTATAATTAAAAGGTTCAAATATATAAAAAAATTAGAATTAAAAATATTTTTTTGGAGACATAAGTATTACAGATAAAATATATTATTTATCAAACTATGTAAATTTTAGATAGTTCACTGGTAGTTTGTTAAATCACAATTATAATGATAATGCGAGTTATGGATAACGTATTTTGTTACGGGTTGATCCTTCATAAAATATATCGTCAATATGTTATTTTTACGTATATTCCTACTTCTACTACAAATATGGTCAATTGAATAATTTGTCGATAAATATAATTTCGTGTTGTTAAATTTTCACTGTTTTTTAATTGTATCAAAACTCAATGTATTATTTTTTACTCCTTTTTTTGTTTATTATTTTATTTAAACTTATTACACAAATATATAATTCACCGTAATCGACTACATCGCAATAAAATTAAAATGTAACATATTCTATTCCGTTAAAGGTTATATATATGTAATTGTTTCATCCGCGCTGTAGCGCGGGTCCGAACCTAGTATAAAGTATAATCATGAACATGTTTGCATTAATTTACATTTTTTTCAACAAAAAAACAAAAAAATCATAGATAGCAACTGTTATAATCATAAACTTTTTCCCTTTAATCATCTTCCTAGGAAATCATGTGGTGTGAAAAAGGGTAATGAAATTTGTCCAAACCTCAATCAGAAATGTCATTTGATAGGGCATGCAACTTTGTAAAGACAACGATTTAGCTTTATCTAATGTTCGTTTTCAACTCAGTGTGAGATCTTAAATCTTGGTAATTTTACTATCTTCAAAGTAAGCTTGGGTACATAGGTTTTGAGATGGATTGGTGGAAGAAGAAGACAACAAGAGCAAAATAGAATTTTTGGTCCGAGAACTCATGAAAGGGGAGGTTAGGAGAGCTCATCGAATTGTTGCGATGGCAAATCAAATCCTCTTCAATTCTTCTCTGCTGATCAAAATCATCAAAGCCACCGAAATCTTTGTAATTGTACTCGAAGAAGCTCAAACGTTTGCAAGGATCGATACTCATGTTTTTAAGTAACTATATGGTTATGAGAGTTGGTATTCAGGAACGTTCGGTAGCCATGCATGGCACGACGATGCTCATCAAGTGAATCTCTGGTTTCTAAAAATACCTTTGCCGCGACATAGCTGTATCAACGATGATGAGTGGTCACAATCACTTTATGAAGCTGGTTGGATGTTTTCTTGAGACTGAATATCCAATCATGATTTATTATGGTGCAGAGAAACAATATTCTCTAATAGATCTTGAAGTTATAGTGTTATGGAAAGAGAGAATGAATATATGTATAGAAGAAGAAATTGCGACTGATTTAGCTTACCTTACACTCTCTTCCCGCCAAGACCCTTCGTACGTATATGCCAATATGAATCTTCTTGGGAATGTTTTATTTGATAAGATAGTAGGTTAAGAGATATCAGAGAAAATGGGTGAAGTGGTAGAAAATGTAGCGTTGACCTTTCATTGTACTCTCAGTAAGATGCATGGGGGTCTTATTAGAGGAGAAGTTCCAAAAATGGTGGAAGTTGCCAAATTAAGAACTAAAAAGTTTTCTTAGAACACTTTTTCTTCTCCTCTCAGGTGAAATGCAAAGCTACTCGAGTTCTTTATATAATTCCAGTAGGTGATCACTACTTTTTTGGTTAATTGCTATTTCTATATATTGTGATTTTAGTAATAAGCATGCAATTTATAGTTTTCATGTGAAAAGGTTATTGTTATTTGAAAAGTAACAGTAACTTCAGATCAATGAAGTCTTTACTTTTACAAATTTTCAACTCTTCAATATTATCTAGTTATCTTCAAATCAATTTTTTTTATTTGATTGATTGATATGGATTGGTGGAAGAAGAAGAAGAGTTTACGAGCCGTTGTTAAAAAGGAGAGAATGGTCTGAGGACGCGTGAGAGGAGAGATATTGCTAGAAGAGCTCATCAAATGTTGTGATGGCAAATCAAATCCCAACCGACAGTTTCAGCGAATCTAACCGTGTTTCTGAATTGTTCGATGAAACTCTATACGATTGGTATTAATTATTCAGGTAAAGAAAATAAACATCATCATCAAATGATACTCATCAAGAAGTGGAGGTACAAATTCAATGAACACAACAATCGTGGAAACTTTTGTCGCGACATAGCCATCTCATCGATGGTGAGTGGTCATAAAAACTTCATGAAACTGGTCGGATGTGGACTTGAATCTGAACATCCAGTTTTGGTTTATCGTGCTGGAACAAAACCTTCTAGTTTAGATATGAAAACGTTACCATGCCGTGGAGAAAGAGATTGAAGATAGCAGAGGAGACTGCAACTGCTTTAGCTTATCTTCATGATGCGTTCACAAGACCTTCTTGTTTATTTTGGAAAAAGAAAATTAACGTCTATAAAATGTCAAAGTGTATGCGCTTTCATTTTTCAAGTAATGCAAAATTTATTTACTTCGATCACTCATTATTGTGTTTATCATTCATGGGTGTAGCTAGATAGAACTCCATATTCAAGTCATCCAACCGAATCGAACAATCCAAAACATAAGGCGACACAAACATAATAAATTTTATGAAAGCAACTAAAAATTATGGAATTAAAACAAAGTGGAACTTGTAAGCTTTGTTTGTGAGTTGTAAATGTCAACCTTTACGACCGAGGAAGCCTTTTTTTTTGTGGAATGAATATAACTCCAAGGTTATTTCGTTGACTTTTCACTTAACCGTTAACATTATAAACTTACATAAATTTAGAGCATACAATATATAATGCATCGTCCTGTAACATCGAAGGATCATGCTCAGTGCAGTTTGTGCGTCGCCATTATTCCCAAAAACTAATACTTGTTCTTTACATTAAGTTATTTATTAGCACCCAAAATTCTCTCACGTTTTCACCTCATCCCATTAAGCTCTCTCTTTTTTCTTTGGTTTTCAGTGGAATCTTTCTGTTTCAATATAGATACCAATTATTGGTAACGATTTCCAGTGTGATTGTGACAACTTAACAAATTGTAATTAGTATTATTATTTTGTTTATAGTAAGAAAAAAAATCAGTATCAGTATTTTTATACTTGGCTGATTGAAAAGTTTAGCATAATTTGAATGTTTTTTTCAAATAACATTTTTCAGAAAAATTAGCATGAAAAAACATAAAATAATAGAATATTCAAAGGAAAAAGACTTTATGAAAATCTTGCCGGAGTCTTCCCTGAGATCCATAACCAATGATGCAGCGAAACGTCAGCATAACTCACGTGAGTCTAATTTTTCAATCATTTATCGGAAAAAAATACAAAGATGCTCGAGAAAGGGGACACATCGCCATCACCAGGGCTATATTGGTAATTTCAGCTGCTTGCCTGTAGAGTAGTGCGTCACCCCACCCATCACACGGTCTTTCTCAGACAAGGGAAACGAGATTATTCCATCAAAGGATACCGTTTTGCCCAACAGCCGCCAACTAAAAAGGTTCGGTCACATATATTAAAATCAAAGATTGGTTTTGTTTGAATATATAATTCAACAAAATTAATGTAAAACCAAAAAAGAAACCGGTTCGAATCGGTTAAGAAGATTATACCGGGAAAGCCGGTGAATTAAGGAAACGGTAATTAAATTAATCAAAGAAAAAGAAGAAGAACATGACGCGCACACGACGACTTCTTCCATAAACAATTGCTTTCCTTCCCGGCACTGTGGCCTGCCAGAAGAGATCCCCCGTGGCCGTCTCTCTCTCTCTCTCTCTCTCTAATTATTACAAATTCCAAAGAAGCGTTTTACTATTTAGTTATTTTCTAATTAATTTATTCAAATGATTTATCATATAAATCTTCCGATTGTTGAGTTTAGTTGTAAACCCATGATGTTTCCCGTCATAGCTGGTGAGTTTTGTCGCTCTCTCCATTCTTTTTTTTCTCTTTCCCGCAAAATTGTTCTGTCTCATTCTCATTATTCTGGTAATAAGTTTTATAGCTCTCTGTTTTGATTTTCATCTCGTAAATCCTCCGTTTTGGATCCACTTAATGTATTTCAAATTGTTACTTCTATCTGGGTTTGTTTTCTGTTCTGAGAGCCATTAAAGTGTTTGCATTTCGAGTTTGAAGTACTAGTGTTTGTCATGAAGAGAGAGAGAGATAAAAAAAAACTCCATTGTTTCCCGGTCAAAGCTTACTCCTTTTTTTTTCTTTATGTTCGTTCTAATAATTGCGCAATTTTATGGTTATTGCCCAACCTTGTGGTCTATCTTTCCTTTATTTCTGCTCAGTTTCGTTGACTATAAAATCCCATTATGTTAATTATCTTCTTGATTAATAGTTTTAGGCCATTTATTTATGTTTCGTGAGAATTTGGGTTTTGTACCAAACTAATTCTTGTGTTATGGATTCAGGCGGTCAAGTTTGAAAAAGCTAAGAACTTTTGGATTCCTCTATGAAGACCATGCTTTCTCACCAGAAATGGAACTTCTCATGGTCTCAGATTGCCATTGTTGCATCTGTCATTGTTCTCGTTTCTTTGGTTCATCTGTTTCTCGGTCCTGTGCTGCCTTCTTTTGATACTGTTAGTGTAAGGCAAGCTCAGAATCTTTCTGGACCAAGTAATGAATCAATCACTCAAGTGACTGAAGACTCAACAAGTGAATCAGTTCTTGCTGCCTTTGACCGCCGGTTTCCTGCTGACTCACACGGTGCAGTTGTTTATCGAAATGCCTCGTGGAAAGCTGAGATCGGACAATGGCTTTCTAGTTGTGATGCAGTTGCCAAAGAAGTTGACATCATTGAAGTAAGTATTGTTTTGGCTTCTTGAAACTATGTTGTTTGTTTGATCTTGTTATAATGGTTGTTTTTTTTTGTGGCAGCCAATTGGTGGGAGAAAATGTTTGAGTGATTGTAGTGGTCAAGGTGTTTGTAACCATGAATTTGGAATTTGCCGTTGCTTTCATGGATTTACTGGTTAGTGTTTAGGCTATCTAAATCTTCTTGAACCTAAGTTGATTACTTTTGTAGATGGTGAATTTGTAGGTGGTGAACTCAAGCACAATCCTGCACTAACTAACAGTAGAAATGAGCTAATTGATCATTAAATTAGCTATTACAGCTATTGAGATTGGTGTGAAATGAAATTACTTTGTTTGTTCTGTGTAGGCCAAGATTGTTCGCAAAAGCAGCGCTTAGAATGCAACTACGAGAAAACACCTGAGATGCCATATGGTCCCTGGGTTGTTTCGATCTGTTCTACACATTGTGATACCACAAGAGCAATGTGTTTTTGTGGAGAAGGCACAAAATATCCAAATCGTCCTGTGCCAGAGTCATGTGGATTTCAAAGCAAGTAAGTTTCACCGGATTCTTTTCTTCTACAGTCTTATTGTTTCTCAATTCAAGCTTAAAAGCTCTTTAACTTAAACACATGTATTTACAGTTCGCCGGCGAATCCTGATGAACCTAAAATGACAGATTGGTCAAAACCAGACTTAGATATTCTAACAACAAACAGTAGCAAACAAGGATGGTGCAATGTGGATCCAGAAGATGCATACGCTTTAAAGGTGCAAATCAAAGAGGAATGTGACTGCAAATATGATTGTCTTTGGGGACGATTCTGTGAAATTCCTGTACAATGCACTTGTGTTAATCAGTGCTCTGGACATGGCAAATGCCGAGGAGGTTTCTGCCAGGTAAGATACTGTGTTCACATCATCAAACTTGACATCATGTTACCGAGAGGTTGCATATTCTTATCTAAATTTTTCCTAACCTTGTGTGTCTTTTTTCTTGTTTTTTACCGCTGTTTTAGTGTGATAAAGGCTGGTTTGGAACAGATTGTAGTATTCCATCCACTCTCTCGACAGTTGGAGAGTGGCCACAATGGCTTCGACCAGCACATCTTGAAGTTCCAAGTGATAAAGAAGTCCCTGGAAATATTATTAATCTAAGTGCTGTGGTGAAGAAAAAGAGGCCTCTTATATACATCTATGATCTACCTCCAGACTTCAACAGTTTACTTCTTGAGGTCACACACTTTTTTTTCTTCCACAAAACGTTACATCACCTTTTATGATAAAGTTCTCAGTCTCATCTGGTTTGAATTTGATTTTTCAGGGCCGGCATTTTAAACTTGAGTGTGTTAATAGGATATATGATGAGAGGAATGCAACAGTATGGACAGATTATCTATATGGTTCCCAGGTTTCCTACTAAACTCAAGTCGAATAACATATAATGTAGCAAGTTTCTCCTGAATTTAAATTGAAATATAACTTTGCCCCTTCTTTGCCTCTTTTGATTTGTGAAGATGGCATTCTACGAGAACATTTTGGCCACCGGTCATCGTACACTGAATGGCGAAGAGGCGGATTTCTTCTTTGTTCCTGTTCTTGATTCGTGCATTATTACTCGTGCTGATGATGCACCTCACTTTAACATGAAGGTTGGGTTGGGAAACTCGCCTTTTTTATTCTCTGTTTGCAGAAGCTCTAGAGCTCATATATTCGTCTATGTTTTTATTACTTTCAGAATCATAGTCGATTAAGAAGTTCGTTTACCTTAGAGTTCTACAAAAGGGCTTATGAACACATCGTTGAGAAATATCCATACTGGAACCGCACATCTGGGAGAGACCACATCTGGGTATGATGATGATACATACAACTTTAAGTTTTTATCTGAAAGCTTGTTTATCTTGACTGCTTACTCGGATCTCTCCACACTAATGTGGCTAATATTTTTACGCCCGAAAAAGGCAGTTTTTCTCATGGGATGAAGGTGCTTGCTATGCTCCTAAAGAGATATGGAATAGCATGATGCTAGTTCATTGGGGTAACACGAACTCTAAGCATAACCATTCAACAACAGCTTATCGAGATGATAACTGGGATAGTATATCTGATGAGAGAAGAGGAGATCATCCTTGCTTTGACCCCCGCAAAGATCTCGTGATTCCAGCCTGGAAACTTCCTGACCCTTACTCAGTGCGTGCAAATTACTGGGCAAGGTATATTCTCTTATGGTTCTTGGACATTGTTTTAGTCATGCCGCTGGAACCTTAAAGCCTGAAAGTTGTCATCTCTTGTTCCTTATTATTAGGCCACGGGAGAAGCGGAAAACATTGTTTTACTTCAATGGGAATCTAGGACCTGCTTATGCTGAGGGAAGGCCTGAAGATTCGTAAGTCTTTGACTTTAAAAAATCATGTTGAAATCATTTTCAGCTGAGCTTTAAACAGCATTCCTAGTGGAGATGTATATAACGTTCCAATAACATCTAATGCAGGTATAGCATGGGAATCAGGCAGAAGCTAGCAGAAGAGTTTGGTTCGAGCCCTAACAGAGAAGGTAAGCTTGGGAAACAGCATACAGAAGATGTGATTGTAACTCCATTGCGTTCTGACAACTACCACAAAGACATATCCAACTCAATCTTTTGTGGTGCGTTCCCTGGAGATGGTTGGAGTGGACGCATGGAAGATAGTATCTTACAAGGATGCGTCCCAGTCATCATTCAGGTATTACCTTGAACGTAACCACATTGTATACATTCAGAAAACTTAACTGTCAGATCCGAGAATGACAATTTTTTGGTTCTTGTTGATGTCTATTTATTAGGATGGAATCTACTTGCCTTATGAGAACATGCTCAATTACGAAAGCTTTGCGGTTCGTGTCAGCGAAGATGACATTCCAAATCTCATAAACACTCTGCGAGTAATCACTCTTTCTCTCTCTCTCTCTCTCTCAGCAGTCTTGTTCTCAACTATTTAACTTCTTGCTCCTAATCTCAGACTCATTTTATTCTGAAAACTCCCACAGGGATTCAGTGAGACAGAGATACAATTCAGACTGGCCAATGTAAAGAAGCTCTGGCAAAGATTTTTGTTCCGAGACTCGATTTTGCTTGAAGCAGAGAGACAAAAAGCTAGTTATGGACATGAAGAAGACTGGGCTGTTCAATTCTCTAAACTGAAGCATGACGATATCTTTGCTACTTTCATACAAACTCTGCATTTCAAGCTACACAACGATCCATGGAGACGAGAGCAAGTCATAAACCGGACTAAAGAATACGGATTGCCTCAAGAATGTCTCCATAGAACCAGCTGAACAAAATCTCTAAAAAAAAAGTTAAACTTTGGAAGTAAATACCTCAGAAGCATATACATATATATACTTGGCTGAATCATTCAAGATTCATTGCCAAATCGATTCTTTTTGAAAAATGTATAATCTCAGGTTTTGAATTAGGTACACCATCAGTCATATTATTTTAAGCAAAACGTTGGTTGCTAAACTCAAACCATCTTCTATAAAATTACTTTTAAGTAAACAATTTTATTCAGCATAAGATGGACTCCAGCTGAGCCATGCTTGTGTACCTAAACTCTTCCTCCCTCTTATTTTTTCTCTCTAATATTCATATAATTCATGCTATAATCGACCTTAAATAAACTCAACATGTAACATACATTTCAAACTATTCATCGTCTATATAAGGTTCACTCAATTTGCACCCAAGCGGCTGAGCTGGGTATACCTGCATGCACCAAAAACATCATATAGTATCCCGGAGGAGCAATCTCAGCTGTTGACGGACCCAAGACATTGACTCTATAGGAATTTGTTAGCTGGTCACGCGTCACAGAGAGTAGGTTCAAGATCACCATCCTCTGATTCATGGCAAAGGAGTGCGTAGTGAAGGAAGGTGCAACTATCCTCACAGAGAGAAGATCAACGGTCAGAAACTGAGGTATGGAGAAATCAATGTTAAATAACCTCTTGTAACCCAATACTTTGTCGCTTGTTAATATCTTGGGACGTATTGGGTCAGATGTGAAAGATAGATATGGGGGAGAATAAGCCTCGAGGCTCAAATCCGTTGGATACTCGACGTTGGTAAAATTGTAATAAACGTGAGGGTTGCTTCCGCCAACTAAAACACGACCGTCCGGTAACAAAACAGCTGAGGAATGGTACATCCTAGGACGCGTTGGCGTGGACATAACGGAGAAGAGACGATCAAAGGGGTGGTATATCAGGGGTTGGATAACCGGGTCACGTGCCTTCTCCCACCCGGCCGTACCAGTTCCGGCTCCGTTTACAATGATGACGTCACCCGTTGGTAAGAGTAGCATGTCCCCCATGACGCGTGGCAAGGGCATGGTTTCCATTTCCCAACTTGGATTCTGATCGGACAGCTTGAGCCTCCCGCACGTGGAAGTGGCACGCGTGAATCCACGTGAGAAGCCACCTCTAGGAGAGCCTCCACAGACCATTATCTCAACTTGCACGTCAGTGCCGTTGGTTTCATCCAATGGGAATAGTATAGAAGAACCACTGCTTGGATAATTTCTTGGATCACCGCCTGGAATCTCCGGAAACTCTTTCACCACTCTGTTCCTTTTGTAATCGAACACAATGGATCTTGTGTTAGCGAAGACAAATAAGTTTCCATCGGGCAAGAGATGTATGAACGGATATAAGTTGTTCTCGTTACTTCCGTCTGAAGTTTCTCTGAGGAACTCAAATCTTGAGCTTCTTGACCTAGAGCTGTGTCGGGGGAAAAATTCAAAGTTGAACTGTCTCCTTCCTCCGACCACGATGATCCGTCCATCTGGTAAAATTTGGTTGGTGGCATACCATCTACGTTGGGATAAATACTGAGGAAACTCAATCCAATCACATGTTTCACTATAACCACAAGGGGTAAACGTTCGAGCAGCGCGCTCACCATCGTTGTATCCACCGGTTTGAACCAATGTTCCGTTGGGAAGAACCGCACCAGAAGAACACCATGTATCGGTTTGGACTTGCAAGGGGCGGAATGTGTTGGAGACAACATCGTAGAGAACCGAGTGTGCGCTGCAATCGAACTTGACGGCCGTGTCAGTAGGATCATATCGACAGACGCCTCCGGGTAGAGATACATTTGAGGTACCAAAATCAGTACGGTCGAACATTATGACCATGCCGTTGTGGAGAAGCTGCATGTGCATGGCGGATATACCGATGCTCGGAAGCAACATTTCCCATCGATCGAATTGCAATAGAAAAGGGCTAGCTTGACCTTCCGATAACATGGCTACGGAGAGGCATAAGATAGATATTGCGATGATATTGAATGTACTTTTTGAGTTGATCATAGTGCTTCCTTTGTTCTTGTTTTGATGGTGAATTTTAAGTTAGAGGTTGGTTGTTCTGTTTTCTTGATGATGAGTATGGTTGGAGTACGTCTAGTTATATATTAATTTTACATTAAATTATTACTATTATTTGGACGTTTAACTCTTTAAATCTATCGTGCCGGAATTTTAGATTATTTTATTTTATTTTTTAAACGTAGTAGAACTGCGTCAATCTAGCTCTTCAACCTCTTAATCAAAATAAGGATGTTTAAATTAAAAATAAGTAAATTAGATTATCATAATTTTATTGTCACTCTTTGAAAGTTTTCGTAATATTTGGAAATAAGTAAGGAGCACATCTAGTATTGCATGGAATCTGAAACAATGTAACACATGCATGGTTTCTATCAAACCGCAAAATGCAAAGAGAATGACAACAAATCTTAGAGAAATCTTAAGTTAGACAAATTACATAATTTTTGTCTTTTTCCATTATAAATAAAGAAAAGTGACCAAAATATCACCCACTTTATAACTCAGACAAACTAAAAAACTACACAATTTTTTCTCATTGATTCTTCATATTCTCTCTCAAATTTTCCAATCTGATCTCTTGTAATATTTAATATGTTTGATAACTTCTATTCCCAAAATCGAATCATCTTACCAAAAAATAAATACAAACAGCTTATACGTACGATTTGAATTTTTTTAAACCTAACATAAATCATTATACGTACTTATAAAATTACTATAAAGAAAACGTTGCAGAACATGTTATATATATCCATGGAGATGAGAGCAAGTCGTGAACCGGACAAGAACACGGATTGCCACGAGAATGTCCACATAACCGATCATTCATGCAACAATCTAAAGAAGAAAACAAGTTGCAACTTTGGAAGTAAATAGAAAACAAGTTTAACCAAATTAACTTCATTCCATATTTCGGTTCAATTGATGATGACTCGAACTATATAAATTGTATAAACTGTAAAATTAGGTTTTGGTTTACTGCTTTTGGGGTTTTCGGTTTAAGAAAAATATTTTGTTAAATCAGTTTTGTTGTGTCCGGTTCGGTTTATCGTTGATTTAGAACATATTTCATGTGAAGGGCGAAAAGGTCATTTTAGTTCATTTGAGCTCCGTTTGAAAAAAGGTCTTTGTTCAGGTCCCTTCGCCATACTCAAGTGCCGGCGTACCCTAAGACTTGTCACCTCCTCTCTCTCTCTCTCTTCAAAAATGTCTCTCTCTTCTCTTTCTCTCGACTCCAATCCAAGATTCGCCGTTGGTGGTCCTTATCACCGCCGTTATCCTCATCTTCACCACCCTCGAAGCTTCGTCTCGTGCTCTGCTAAACGTCCAGCTGCCTCGGCTTCACTGAGCGTTGCAGCTGATTCAGCCGCCACTGAGTCTCTTGGACGAATTGGATCACTGAGTCAAGTCTCGGGTGTGCTTGGTTGCCAGTGGGGCGATGAGGGTAAAGGCAAACTCGTTGACATCTTAGCCCAACACTTTGACATCGTTGCTCGTTGTCAGGTAAAGTTGACACTTTTTACCTTTTTGTCAGATTCTTCTGAACATTTTTTATTTGTGAACACTGAACATTTATATCATTATCTATGGTTGGGATTTAAGCTGTGCTTGCAATTGTAGATTCGCGAACATTGAATTGAATTTGTTGATTCAGTTAATAAGTTTCTGTTGCTGATTTGGTTGTTCCGGCAAAGTTTAAGTCGTTTTGTTTGAATTTTGTGATTTGGTTACCATAGGGTGGAGCTAATGCTGGACACACTATCTATAATGCGGAGGGAAAGAAGTTTGCTCTTCACCTTGTGCCTTCTGGTATACTGAACGAGGATACTACTTGTGTGATTGGAAACGGAGTTGTGGTGCATTTGCCAGGTCTCTTTAAAGAGATTGATGGTTTGGAATCCAATGATGTCTCCTGTAAAGGAAGGATTTTGGTCTCTGATCGCGCTCACTTGTTATTCGATTTCCATCAAGAGGTTGATGGGCTCAGGGAATCTGAGCTTGCAAAGTCGTTCATTGGCACAACGAAGAGGGGCATTGGTCCTGCCTACTCTAGTAAAGTGATAAGGAATGGTATTAGAGTAGGTGATCTCAGGCACATGGATACTTTCCCCCAAAAGCTTGACCTTTTACTATCTGACGCAGCGGCAAGATTTCAAGGGTTCAAATATACTCCAGACATGCTTAAGAAAGAAGTCGAAGCATACAAGAGATATGCTGAGAGATTGGAGCCCTACATAACTGACACTGTCCATTTCATGAATGATTCAATTTCCCAGAAGAAAAAGATTTTGGTCGAAGGTGGTCAAGCTACTATGTTGGACATTGACTTTGGTACATATCCATTTGTTACTTCCTCCAGCCCATCAGCCGGTGGGATCTGCACAGGTCTTGGTATTGCACCAAGAGTTGTTGGTGATCTGATTGGAGTGGTAAGCATGTTATTCACTCTTACACTTTTCTTTCTGCACTGGTTTTGAAATTGTGTAACCTTTGTTGTTAGGAGTTTATTAGCATTGATCTAGTCGCTTACATTTGGAATATTCTCTTTAATAACTGTTGTTCTGCAAGCAATAAAAGAGATGTGAAAGCATTGTGATGATCCTGTTTTGTCAGGTAAAAGCATACACTACTAGAGTTGGTTCAGGCCCATTCCCAACAGAAAATTTGGGCACAGGTGGTGATCTCCTTAGGTTGGCTGGACAGGAGTTTGGCACTACAACTGGTCGTCCTCGTCGGTGTGGCTGGCTTGACATTGTTGCGCTGAAATTTTCTTGTCAAATCAATGGATTTGCATCACTTAATCTCACTAAGCTTGATGTACTTTCGGATCTGAATGAAATTCAGCTTGGTGTGGGTTATAAAAAGAGTGATGGCACCCCAGTTGAATCATTCCCTGGTGATCTTCGTCTTCTGGAAGAACTGCAAGTAAGTACAGTTCTATGTTACATGTTGGACTGTCTCCATTTAAGGATAGTGAAACTTCAATTGATATTAAGTTTGATTAAAAAGCTTTATCTGAAGGAAAATCATTTGCTTCTTTATGTTCCTATAGTATCTGATAAAGTCCAGAAAGCAGAGCTTCATTCATCTTATAGGAAATGACACTTATATCTTATTGTTGGGATGACAATAACTCTGTTTATTTTGTGCAAATGTTTGTAGGTGGAGTATGAAGTCTTACCTGGATGGAAGTCTGACATTTCCTCGGTCAGAGATTACTCTGATCTTCCAAAGGCTGCACAGCAATATGTTGAGAGGATTGAAGAACTCGTGGGTGTGCCCATTCATTACATTGGTATTGGACCTGGTCGTGATGCCCTTATATATAAATGATTTATAGGGTTAGTTTTTTTTTGTCTCCTCCACAAACTCAAATATTGATCAAGTTTCAAGCTGCTGAGATTTATTACTCTCTTTCAAATGACTAATGTATCTGTTGCATTGTTTCTTATATTGGAATGAAGAGGAATTATGTGCTTATCTAGTGAGGTTGTTGTACTCGTGAAGTTTACGCTTTTGTGTTTGATCTTACTGTACTCCTTCCATTGATAAGAGATCCTTTTATGGCTTAACCCTGAGAAAGTCATGAAGGTTCATTATAGGTGCTGTTTAGGCCTGTTAAAGATCTATTTGATATTGTCTAGACGTGGTCTGTCATAAAGATATCTAGGAAATAAAAAGGACAGCTTCCATGGTTAGGTTGATGAGGATAGTTCCTACATCCCCGGCGTAGGATTTTTCTTCTGCAAATTTCTTCAGATTTTGATCAGTGCTAGCAGTTGATTTTTTTGTGATGAGTCTTAATGCATCATTTGATGCGTGTAGTCAGTGTGTTTTTTTTTTCTCGACAAAAAGTTTGCACTGTTCAACTCGAGAATCGTGGTTTACCCTTAAATCTTTTCATACCACCATAGTTGTTACTTGTTAGGATAGTAGATCTGATATCCAGGAAAGGGGATATGATAAGTAAGCTTTTGCATGGTTACTTTGACATATCATTCTATTAGTTTTTTTTTTTTTTTTTTTACTCCTGAGCTAAAAGAATTGAAAATAAACGACCAGGTTTCTTCAATATCCCAAAAAAACCGAACAACCCATTTCATACCAGAAGTACACTGACTCATTTTATTGCTGCATAATAATAGACTACACTCGGAGCATATCCCTTTCTACCTATGTATCTACTCCGAAACACTAGACTGATCACCCAAAACCATGTGTACTTCTGAATCTGATCTACAGTGAATTGCTTTTACTCAATCTAAGCTTCCGCAGTAGTCCCAGATGGAAGGAAAGGATACATCATCCTCAAAATCATAGCTTCCAAAATTGATGGAGTCAAACTGCATAGTTTCTGTTTCACTTCTTGGCATCTCGATCAGCGTATCCCAGCTGAAGTTCTGATCTCCGAAAGGACTTCCAGTTTCTTCTTGCTCGTTCCACGGCGGAGGGGAATGACACTCTGCTACCTCACTTGCTTCTGCATGACTTTCATCCTTCAAGATTCCTAGCTGCTGAAGAAACTCGGTCAGGTCGATCTCTGGTTTCTTCTGATCACCACCTTGGAACATATTGTTTGTTTCTCCCTTGCTGGTCTTTTCATCGAGAAGGCTAGTATTAGTTTTCGATTCGGTGGAGGAAGAACTAGAAGAATAGGATTGAGATGATAAAAGTCCAGTTTTCTTAAGTTCCTCTAGCCTTTGCTGGATAATGTGAACACTAGGCTGGGCATTCACATTTAGCATACCACAAGAAGGAAACATAGATATGAACTTCCTTGAAGGTACCCATTTAAACCTCTGAGAGTTACTCAGAGAAGGTCTTGTATTCCGCTGAAGATGAGGTAAGTTGAGGTATGCGTCGTGACCATAGAGTTTGAGGGCAGCTTCATCGTAAGCCATGGCTGCTTCTTCAGCTGTAGCAAAAGAACCAAGCCAAAGCCTTGCCCTCTTCTTGGGCTCTCTAATCTCAGCCACCCATTTTCCCCAAGTCCTTTGCCTGACTCCACGGTACTGACAAAGAGCGTTTTGTGGACCGCCTTTGCCTCGAGCAGGACCCTTCTTCCATTGTTTCATTGAGGATGATTTCTCCATTTGTGTTTAAGTGAAGTAGAAGCAGTAGATGAAGAAGATTTAGAGTGAAGAAGAAATCAAGAAGAGGATATGATAATGGAGCTTAGAAAGAGTATGTGAGTGCTTAAATATTGTCACGGTTCGGTTCACTTCCCAGAGAATTGCTTTTTTTCACCCGCGCATGTGACCGTTGCTTTCTCACATTCTGTTATTTTTCAAAGGAAAAGGAAAAAAAGAACAAAAAAAAAAAAGAAGAATTCCTTAACCATTTGATCTCAACTTCATCTAAGGCTAAAAGCCTAAAAAACTAATCCCTATTTGTAGATGTCCCCTACATTCCAAACAGTTTCCATTGCCGACCTTATAACACAATATTTTGACGATAGTAAGAAGTTAGACCAATTGTACTCACATGGTGTTCCCATTTAATAAACTTGACTATTAGAGAGATGGTTTGTGTTCAAATTTTTCTTTTTGGATTATTCATCGTTTATCATAGTTTAAACAAATGATCAATTTATATGTATATATAAAAGAATTAAAGTAAATGAGAGCACGACACTATTCGAAGTGTTGTTATTGGGTTCCTATAATTATTTTCTTGAGTGACTTTAAAGCTTTAAAGCTTTTAACGAATTTTCTTTTTTTTAGCTTTATCTTTTTGTTGTTTCCTTCTATCGTAGGAGGAGGATCGGGGAGAGATGAGAAAGAGAGGCAAGAGTCACGAGTCGTCGCAGCACACAAGAATCACATGTCCGATCGTGAGAGTGAAGTGACGTGTGTGTGTATGTGCCTGTGTGTTTTCATTCTCGAGATTTTCAGATTTAAGCGCCGCTCCCTTCATCATTATCCCATGCTTCGGTCGTCCTCTCTTACCTTCACATTTAACTCACCCCATTGTTCCCTTAAATCCATTTTCTTTTATACAATTCCAATCCAAAAATACTAATAATGAACCAATTATTATGTTCATGAAAAAAATTCTACTTTAAATTACATCTAAACACAGAATCAAAAGTTTTTTAAAATTAAATTATGTTCGAGCTTTATTTTAAACCGAAACTGAATCAAATCCGAATCTACAACGGAATTAACCAAATCCACCAAAATTGACACTGTTCATTAAAATTAAAAATTTATGACGTTAATGAAAAAACTGAATAGTCATTTATATTTGTTTTATCAACTTTTCTTAATCGGAGAAAGAAAAAAAAATGTAAGCCTAATGAAATTTCTCATTAGTGACAAATATTAATGACGAAATAATTAGCAAATCCTATGAAACTTGATCGTTTGTTTACCACTTACACTCTTACAGTATCTACTACATAGCAATCAGTAACTTCATCGGCACGTGAGAGCAACCCAAATGTGACAAACATAAAAGAAAGAAGATAAATGACTATACGACGGGTAAATGTGTTGTTTTCATGGGTCAGACTCATATATCAATGAACGAATGGGCTTAGCTCAGTCACAACCCCAAGGCCCATCATATTTTTTTCCTGTTCAAGTTTCAACCTTGCCGTCGGACCCCTAAATCTATCCTTCTCCGACAAAACAATCACGCACTCCGGCGACAACAAACGTTCTCCAAATCCGATGAAAAGAGCAAAAATACTGCAACCAATCCCAAGTAATCTCATTATCACGATATTCGCTAGATTCTGTACCCTGTCGAAGCTCTGTGCGCCTCTTCTTGAGATCTTACCTGATCAGATGAGGTGCAGAAAGCATCGAGGCTTTTTAGTATTTGGTCCCATTGACAAGCAATTCAAGGGAACACCATGAGATTCTGACATTTTTAGGAACTGGAGAACTGAGCTGCCATAGGTTTTCCTGCATACCATCCTTCTTTAAGTGAAGGGATACACATCGATGGAGTTTTGTATTACTTAGCTCAGAGAGTTACTGAATCGTCTTGTGTGATCGTTTGCTTCGATGTTAGGTCTCAAAGAATTGAAGTTTATTGACGGAGAATGCTTTAGTGATCAACTTGATGATACTACTGAGTTGATTTTTGGTCAATTACAAGGGTAAAATTAGGTGGGATTAATTGGAAGTGTGGTCAAGCTGGTGGAAGGCGTACTTTTGAGCTGTGTCTGTGGGTTCTAGAGGATGTTGAGGAACAGGTATGGGTGAACTATGTCTACCCTTTCCCGGAGAATGAAGTCCTTGATTCTTGCGATTTTTCTATTCTTGGGAAAAGATGAAGACAAAAGAAGATGATCTTTGGAGTGATGAATAGTATAAGATGAAGAGAAGAGAAGGGATAGGTAAAAAAAAGCAATGGGTCATGTAATCTATGCGTTTATGGTCTTTAGTTATAGAGACGTTGGTAGGTCTGTGCAAATCAAATCTAGCTTGGTAGTGTTTGACAAAACTTCTTGATCGTATATACCTTTGTTGTCTTTGGGGGTTAATCATGTTTCCCTTCTCTCTTTAGTTCTACATCAATAATATTCTCCCCCATTGTTAAGTTTATAGTTTTTAGTATAAATACCTGAAACCAAAATGCAATTTCTATTGCCTATTTTGTATTTTACTAGTTGCTGGAGTTTCCCTTTCCATACCAACATACTTGCATTGGCACCTGAGAACAACCCAGGTAATGAATAAATGGGCCTAGCTCATTCACAAATATATATAGTAAAGCCTAAATGGCCCATAAAATTTACGTTCTCTATTTGTTGATTAGTTATTACTCCCAGACGAATTTAATAAGAAAAAGGAACATTGTCGTAGTCGTATCCCTAGAACCCTAAATCCTTCTCCGGCAGAACAGTCACACACTCCGGCGAGTCCGATGGAAAGAGAGAGCAACAAGGAATCGCTCCCAGATGATCTGATCCTCGAGATTTTCACGAGATTGCCGTCGAAGTCAGTCGCTAGGTGTCGTACCCTGTCGAAGCACTGGGCGTCTACGCTTCGCAGTCCGGAATTCACCAAGCTGTTCCTGGCCAGCTCCTCGACTCGTCCACGCCTATTGTTTGCGGTCGAACGATATCATTGTAACGAGTGGTTCTTCTTCTCTTCGCCTCAGCCACAGAACCAATATGAGAATTCGCTTCCTCTAGAGTATCATACCAAGTTCTTAGGAGACGTGAGCCAGTACATTTGTAGCTATGCCTCAGGTTTGATCTATTTCCCTTTTGTGAGGATCATTGATGTGAACACGCCTTTGATTTGTAACCCTACCACGGGAATGTATGCGGGATTAGAAGTCAGGAAGTACAGCAGGTCTCGAGGCTTTTTAGGCTTTGATCCCATTGATAAGCAATTCAAGGTTTTGGATTTTCTAAGCGTTCTTACTGTAGGATCTGGAGAACCCGGGTGGAGACATAAGGATGTCTCTTGTGGTCCCTATCATCGTTCTCCCACTGCAGGGATATGCATCAACGGGGTTTTGTATTACTTAGCTGAAACATTTATTGAACCATCTTTTTTGATAGTTCGCTTTGATGTTAGGACTGAGGAGTTCAAGTTTATTGACGCATCATGCTTTAATGATCATATACAGCATCCTACTGGATTGAGTTTGGTTAGCTCTAAGGGTAAATTAGGTGTGATTAATTGCAATTACGCTGACGCTGATGGAAAACGTACCATCGAGTTGTGTATGTCGGTTCTAGAGGATGATGAGATACAGGAATGGGTGAAATATGTCTACACTCTCCCGCAGAATGAAGTCCTTGGTTCCTGCGAATTTTCAGTTGCTGGAGTGACTGCTACAGGTGATATTGTTTTGTGTATGAAATATATATGTAAACCGTACTTTGTGTTCTACTTCAATCCCAAAAAGAACACTCTCCAAAGTGTTGAAATCCAAGGTTTTGGAACTAAGTTTGAAGCGGTTGAGAATCGTGGTGAAGTTCATGCCATTGTTGACTATGTAGAGGATCTTAGTCTTAATGATGCAAAGCAACTTAACTCAAGCATTTCTGATATCAAGAGTCTTTGCTCCTGCTGTCAACAGAAAGGGAAGCTTAACTACATCGGGGAAGAGGCATGATGATGGTTTGAGTAGAGAGAAGAAATGAAAGAGACATCAGTGAAGATGAAGACAAAATAAGAAGAGAAGAGTATAAAGTAAAACAATGAGAGAAGGACTAGGTAAAAAGCAATAGGGTTCTTTAGTTTTTTTTTTTTTTAAACCATAGGGTTCTTTAGTTAATACTTAATAGTTATAGACTTTGGTAAGTCTGCGAATCAAATCTAGCTTTGGTAAATCGTTTGTACCTCTTTACTATCTAATATCTTTTTTTTTGGGTCAAAGACTATCTAATATCTATGGTTAATCTAGTTTCCTTTTATAATTCCATCTCTCGTCAGTTGTAGATCAATAAAATTGTCCCCGATTGTAGAGGTTATATGTATAGTTTGATGCTGTCTTCTACCATTGCACATAATTTTTGCCTTATTACCATCTGCAAGAAGAACAAGCGCAACAAAACATGTACGAGTATCTACGGAGGACAAGCGTTGATTTGTTTTTCTAATCTGATGATCTGAAAACACAAAACGGTAGTTGTAGGTTCCATAACTGAACCACATGGTTCATAATGAACCAATTACTCTGTTTCTTGTCAGTTTTAAATCTATTATCCTCTCCCATTGTTGAGTTTGTGCATGCAATTTCTACTGCCTATTTTATTTTTGTTGAGTGTTTCCATAACTAAGTTACTCAAAATTATTTCTTGAGTTGTGTGTGTGGGTTCTTGAGGATGTTGAGAAACAGGAATGGGTGAACTGCGTCTACACTTTGCCGGAGAATGAAGTCCTTGGTTCCTGCGATTTTTCAGTTGCTGGAGTGACTGCGACTGGTGATATTGTGTTGTTTATGAAGTTTACATGTCAACCGTACTATGTGTTCTACTTCGACCCCAAAAGGAACACTCTCCAAAGTGTTGAAATCCAAGGTTTTGGAGCTGAGCTTGAATCGGTTGAGAATCGTGGTGAAGTTTATGCCTTTGTAGACCATGTCGAAGATGTTAGCGTTAACGATGCACAGCAACTCAAGTCAAACATATCTGAAGCCAAGAATTTCTGTTCCTGCTGTCAACAAAAAATGAACATCGAGAAAGGGGAAACACATGGATAGGAGGTAATGATGATAGTGTGAGTAGGGAGAAGAAATTAAAGAGACAGTAGTGAAGATGAAGACAGCAGAAGAAAGAAGAGAAGAGTATAAGAGGAGGAGAAGAGTGTAAATCAACAAGGGATAGATAAAAGAAATGAAACTGTCTTCTATGCGTTTAGGTTCTTTAGTTAATAGTTGTCTGTGGAAATCAAGTCTAGCTTTGGTAATGTATTATCTGTATGAGCCTTCTGACCTTTTTTTTGGTTTATCAAGTATTCTTTTTTCGTTCCATCTCTCTCTCCAGTTCTAAATCAATAATATCCTCACCAATTGTAGAGTAGTTTGATTCTGTCTTCTACTATATTGCACATAATTGTTCCCTTGTCACTTTCTTCCGGAAAGGTCTCTACTCTCTACAACTCCACGCCATTTGTTAAGACTTAAGAGCATGCACAGAAGTCAGAACAGGTACGCAACCTAGAGTGAAGACATGTGTCGATTTGTTGTTTTGCCAAGCCAAATTAAAAAGGTCGGGACTTTGTTTCAGAAAAAACAAAATGGTAGTTGCCGAAACATATTTGGTCTTTGCATATTACATGATATTCCTTAGAATCCCTATGAAAGTTAGGCCCTCGTTTGCCACCACGTATGTACATACCGACTCCATTAGCACGTGAGAACAAACCATAACTGACAGAAAGAAAGAAGACAAATGGCTTTACGAAGGCGTTATGCATGCTAATAGCTTAGCACAGACTTCACGTACGTCTCCAGAAGGATCTGAAAGTGATGCTTTTGATAGAACTGATCTTGCTTCGAGCAATCCCTCTGAAATGTTTTCCAGTATCACGTCTTCACTTGCCATCAGTGATGCCATCAGTTTTGCGCCAGCCAGCTTTTCCTACACATTTGACTTCCCGTATAAGCTTAAAATCCAAGTCAGATGATACTATGTGTTGCCGAAAATTCCGGACATGGAATTGTCCAATCAGATATGCCGACAGTAGTCACTTGAGAACCAAAGTATCATTTCTAAAAGTGAAGCACGTTGTCTACTTCCATAAGATTGTATACATGTGAGAAATAGGTTTGATAGATTTCTGGTACCTTTTCGGATCCTTGTTCAAGAAATCTCAGGGAAAGTTTCAGTAGATCAGATGAAACAGGAAGAAGTGTGGACTTCAGATGGTACATGGCCGCGAATAAGACCTGGATACAGGCTGCACGGACCTCAGGTACAGATATGACCTGCACAAAATTCAAGATATTTTGTTGAACAACACAAAATGCAAACAAATTTGGCCAAATCCGAAATCAATATATGCAGTCAAAAGTACCTTGAGGGAATGAATAAGAGGCGGAAGAGCTTTTCGAGCAAAAGTCTTTTTTGAAGACTCAGGCATTTTTTGACAAGCACTGATTATCACGTTTGCCATGCATAGACGAAATGAAATAGGAAGAGGATTTTCACCAGTTAGGTGTTCAGTACTCAGCTTCGGGGTAGAAAAACAATTGTCTTCTATTAAACAATGGATCGTGTAATCTAGGACAGAATTACCTGACGCATCAACACCTACAGATCAAGATACAATTTATACAGAAGTTTGGAAAATCTATTGTTAGACAACATCAATACTAACCAGATGTGTCCTTCCCTCTTGTACGTATTTTTTCTTCTCCAGATGTTTTTGAAGATTTAAGATGTTGCAGTTCAGCACATATCATCAGCGCCAGACAATCAATGCACCCATGTTGTACTTTGGAAACTGCAAGGAAAAATAACAGCCAAAAGTGAGGAAGTTAAAGGTAGCAGAGCTTGAGATATAAACCAATAGCCACTAGCCGGTGTTTACTTTCATCTTCAACAGAAGGCCATAACAAAATAATTTCCAGGACTTTTCTGATCTTAGGTGTTACACTGTGTGAGAAAGACTCCCAGCCTCGAACCTGGAAGTGACGAAGAACTTGTGACGTAAAACAATAATCCAATTGATAGTGCACCGAACAAGTGGCAACATGGGATAACTGAATATGTTCATATCAAACACAAAAGATGAAAATTACCACAAGGGATGTGCATATAGAAAATAGGCAAGCTTTAATCTTGAGGTTGTCTTGAAACTCTCTGGCCTTTTCAAGTTGCAATAAAACAGTTGGAAACAGCACCTGTTGAATAAAAGTGCCAGCATACGACAAAATTTGAGTGATGAAGAGTAGGCTAGACTGTTGTAAAAGTAAAACTGAAGTCAAGCATTGAGAATTTTTCAGATATAAGAAAATGCACCAAGCCCTTATGACGAATGCAAACTTTGCATGCAATTTTGCTTTTTTGCTTTCTCATATAGAGCAACGACCTTGAGATGTTACTTATTAATGAGCATCTACCCTTTTTTAAAACGTATATAAACATTTACAAAAGATTGACCAACAATACTAGGTCGAAGAGGAAGCCAGTTCGCACCTGGGGATGGATACGTCCACATAGCTCAGCAGAGAGTTTTTGAACTTCTTCAAATTCAAACTTAGAAAATGCCCTATATAGTAGAGTTAGATCGATAGATATAAAATAAGTATTAAGGCTTTTGATGATTACAGAGTATATAACCTTTCCAAAATGAAAGCGGCAATGCATTGACAATCCTCAAACTTGATGTCTTGATAGTCTTATATGTACCACATGACAAGAAATAGATGTGGAGAATCAAGTCTAAGATCGTCAGTATGTACTCTGGATCATGCTGCTTAGGGAAATAATTATCCAACATATAGCTAAAGCGTTGAATCAAATTGACAATACGAGATCGTATGATAAATATCCACTCTTATCAGGAAAAGGAAATCAAAAGCATAAGCATACTTACCATTCACAGAGACTCCACTGAGGAATTTACCATAAATTGTGGAGGAATCAATATCATCAAAGACTCTTTGGGGAAGAAGCCTTAATATAAGCAGTGGGCAAAGGCGATCAAATAGAGATTTCTCTGATTTGGTTTTATCAATTGAAATTTTGGTATCTGATCTGCATATGAAGATCTCATTCACCCTAAATCAGAAATGACATTATTGGTAATCAATATTTTATAATTTTGAAAGTTGTTAAAAGTTTTTCTTAGCACAAAAGTCACAATTATGGTGCGTCTAGCTTTATTTTGAGGATTTCAAATATTAAGAGAACTTTTACTTACTTGTTTTGCTCCTTTATATGTGAGAGTACATGCAGAAGGACAATGTTCGACATATCTGCCAAATATTCACTGATGCAGCTAAGAAACCTAACCATGATGGCATTGGATGGCTCCAAGAACATCTTGTCAAGAAAGGGTTTTATCAGTGAGCCCCAGTTTTGCACCTGTAAGAATTTGATTTCAGTCAGCAAGCAGAAATATTCTAATTGCCTAATTATAGCTGCACAATCTTTAGTCCTTTCTATGTGACGAGTTTCACAACACCTACACAAGAAAATAATAGTACTTGGAAGGAAAAACGAACAACCAATGCATGGTTCAGAATTAGTATCATTTTCTATTCAGTACTGCCTTAACAGTTCCTCAAAATGGTGCCTGTACATGCACTTAAGAAACTAAATGGACTCATTTCAAAGAAAACAAACAATTTAGCAAGCATGACGTGTTCTTGCACTTACAGTTCTTGCCCACTCTGGGATCAGTTTTAGTACTCGATCGCTGTCAAAAGTTGAACCTGTAACAGTACAAAAAGATGATAAGTATGAAAACTTAATCGTGCCCAGTTAGTAATTCAGCCAGACTAGTACATATTTTACAACGGTCAAGTTTCACATTCCAATAAACTTTTTATCCAGCTTACATTTCAAATATTGAAATATTCGATACAAGAAAAGTGTTTAATACGAGATGGAAAACAACAAAATGAAGTTTTATCACAAACTATGTATAGCCTGCAGCCTAAAGTTATGAGATAAGAAGTATTTACCTTCAGTAGAATGTCGATTATTCTCTGAAGTATCCAAAGCTTGAATATTACTAGAAGAGAAAAGTGGATATCAGAATCAGAAAGGCCTTTTGAATTTTTAGCGTGAAACAATGCAAAACTTAACTAACAATCCGGTGACTTTCTCACTTGGGGTAAATGGGAATCAACAAATAACTATGTATACTTGGGGGAAAGGAGAAAAAGAGACAACGCATGATACCTAAGACAGGTCAGCAACATACATATCACATCAGAATCCTCCTTGTGATGTTTCAAGACTCCAAGCAAGGTTTCCGTAGCTGATACTTTACCATTGGGTGCGTAAATGAGGGTTACTAAATCTGGTAGCACAAAAGATGGTTCTGGAAAAAAAAGAAAAAAACATTCAGTTAATGGCTTAATTCTATGAGAAAGTGGAAAATGAATGTTATCATATGTGAACCAAAACTACTATTGAGATATGGAATAATAAGTCTTGGACCTCATAAATGGGATCTGTACAGGTTTTCCTCATCTAAAATAAAAAATAATACTTTAAACAAAACACTGATTAGTTTCAGTAATTTTTAGGAAGGTCAACTAATAAAATGGAAAGAAGAAAGATCTAGAGGTCATGGGAGACATAAGACGGCCAATACCAGAAATTGATAACGGCCACAAACAAAATCTTCCAAATAAATTGCATAGAAAGGTGAGAAGAAGACCAACCAATTGACTTTAGTAGCTCAGAAGTTTGTTTACAGATATAAGCTTCGTCGTCCCCAAGGCACTGTAACAAGCATTTTGCAATCTCTTTCCTGAAATAAGTCCAGAAAATGAGTTCTAACTTCTGAGGGGATGAGAATGTAATAAAGTCAAGGAACTGAAAGAAGATGCAGAAAAGCTAGAAATGGAAAATCGAGACATAGAACATAAATGATTGTATACCACGGTATATGAGAAGGAAATGAATCTTTTGACATAAGGACTACTTCTGATATCACATCCATAGAATTCAGCCTTTGCACAGTTGTTCCAGACACAAGGCGTTGTAGAATTTCACTGAGACAGTTATTATCTGCATTTCTGGTGAATGTTTCTTTAAGTCAGAAGAAAAACTAGAAACCATAATTGGTAAATAGAAAGCTACTTTCATGATTAAGCATTAAAGGGAAAGCAAGAATAGACATACTTGGAACAATAGTCTGCCAAGAGGACACTACCAGCTTTAGCCGCGCCATCCCTTTCATCAAGAAGGTGGAGCAGCGATGGTATCAAAACGTCCACGCACATTGTGTCAGAGTAGCTGTCTCCAGACTGAGATTGTAGCTTAAAGATAACTGCTTTAAGTATAGCAACAACGTCGTCTGATATATCTTCATTGTTATTGCGAAGCTTCGAATGCAGAGGAAGAATGTAAGTACTAAGATGAACACATGGGTAATATATATAATATCCATCAAGATTAACTGTATCAAGATGTGTTATAATCATAGCAGCAATTGTGCATAACCAAAATAATGAGTTTCATAATGAGTAGAAAGTCAGTAAAGTCTATATGAGAAATGAATTCTAGGCTAGCATAATTATCAGAACAACCTATATAACTGCAAGAGAAATCAAGTAAGTGTGCCATCACTCCCTAAAAAATGGTGAAGGTACCTGATGAAGAAGACAAGGTATGAGCTTCATTCCATACACTGATAGTATGCTCTCAAATTTCTTTCCCTCAAAGCGTCCCAACAAAAGGCATAAACAGTTTAGGAAAAACTTTAGTGTCTCTATACCACCAGTCTTGGTGTCAGAACATCCCTGAGGATAGCTTTCTGAATAATACTGCATCATTTTATCATTATTAGCTTCCTGACGACCCAATAAAGGAAAACACTTTAAGAGAAAGAGCAGAAAATATAACATCTACAACTTCTCTCTGTGTAGCTTATATAGGGTTTCCTAGTGAAATAAAACACTCCAGAGCAAATAATCTCACTCATACACCATGCAAACACATTCCAGTAAATTTCAAGCAGACTCAAATACTACTGCACATTTTCTATCTTCTTAACATATAACAAAAAGTAGAAACCACAGATGGAAATGGCATATATTCTGTTTATTCTTAGACAAAAGTGGGTCAGGAAACTTAAACATATGCAGCAGATTTCAGTTATGAACACAATCGGATCCCATATGTACCACAATGTTACTGTATGAGATAATTTGTCCTATCACAAAATTTTGAAACCAAAAAGATTGTCGATTATGTCTAACCTTAATACCAGACAAATATTGCTCCAACAATTCCTTACTAATCTTTGAGAACTTTTGATCTTCCATGTGGAGTAAGACACTGTAATGCTTCCAACAAGAAGAGAGCAGTAGAGCTCCACCCACAAATGCCTCTGAGCCTGAATACCAGGTATAAAATAAAATAAAAACTGTTAAGCAGGAATCAGAAACAGAAAAAAGAAACAAAAAAAACAAGGACAGGCGGCAATCACTCAAAGACCTGCCTCCTCAGGGGAACCACCATGATGCTCTTTTAACTCATCTAACCACTTCAGCACTTGACTTAACCCCTTTGCATGCAGTGGTCGTGTTTTCCTGTTCCACTGGAAGGAATTTCGTAGTCAATATTACTCAGCTCAAATCACGGATAACTTTATCACTTCAAATTTGAGAACACAGCTCAAGCATATATTTATGGATCAGTGAACATACAGCAGAAATACATTGTACAAGGCGCATCAACTCCTCCAGGTGGTTCCACAGTATACAATTTGCCTCAATGTTCGAGCCTTCAGGTAAAAAACTCTGCTTTTTTTCCTTCTTGCTAGTATTAGGTATCAAAGCAACCGGTTGATGAGACCCCGTAATGGTTGATGGCTTAGGTCTATTGACCAGAGTATTATCCCTCTTTGCTAAGGCTCCAGTAATTGACAGCAAGCAATCAGCAGCTGAAACAGAGAGACGAGATGGCACCTCGTATCCATCCTGCAAAATGCTAATCAAAATAACAGCTCAAAACTAAGTGGAAATGACTATGTATTTTAAGTGTAGAAACTTGCTCTAATATCGAACAGGAGATGATCTTTATACCTTCCATTGCATACAATCATCAACAAGTGGGGAACACAAGAGGAAACAATCTCCACAAACGCAGTATGTTTCTCCCTAATTCCTGTCAACAAAGAAAATTATAGAAGTACATCAATAAGAAGATAGTTTCTTTCCCCCCAAGAGAGATAGCTGGAATTAAATAGGTAGTAACAAGGGTGATTATAAAGTTCACCATGCCAAAAACCTTGATCCCCGGTATCCTCGCATTCTACTAGACTTCGGATAAGTAAACACCACCCAAGAGCTAAAAACCTGTCCTCGTTCCTCAAAATGATTTCCGAAAGATGTCTCGAAACGGCTTGAAAGAGAACTTCAGCTTGAAACAGCCAATGTAGAAGTATCATAGCTGAGTTACCATGTTTAGAATCCTTAAACCTTAATGACTAAACCACAAGAAAAAAAAGTATACAAATCCATAAGAACAGACAATATGAAAGACCGGACATTCCAACAATCAAGTAAGGTTTTTTCACAGGGTTTAAGATAAGATATACATGTTCGATAATGGGTACGAGAATTTGACCCATGGCTTCGTCTCTCTCAGCAGCGTCTCTAACGCACTTTTCCAGAAACCAGAGTGCCTCATCGATAGAGCCTGAAGCAGAAATCGAAAACAGACATATCACACAATTCCATCAGATAAGAAGCAAGCAACATGTGTTAACATAAATACACACAAACCAAATTGAAAACACTTACCAGAGGAACCCTTTTGAGAATCAGGAGTTAGACGTGAAATAGATTCCCGTAGCTTTTTAGGGCGAGCTGAGAGAATCGTACTCATGAACCTGCCTACAGTGACGGAGACTAGAGACTCCGGTTCAGATCTCCGTATCAAATCCTCTTCCAACCGCTCCATCTCACTCTGAATAATCGGCAATTCCAGATGATTGTTTAGTAGGCCGATTAAAATTACTCTCAGCCTAATTTGTAGCAATCTCCCGGAGAAGGACGAAGAATCGAGCTCTGTAACATTTCCCGCTGCGAGGTCAAACGATGTCGTTCGACATAAATATAACGATGTCGTTTTAAACAAATTAAACTACTACTGTAGTATGTACGTACGCTAGCGTACTTTACAAAACGACCGCGTTTAAACTTAGGGCTAGGACAGCGTCTTTGAGTTTACACTCCACGTGGCGATTAATCATTGGTTCATTTGTTATTTAACTGAATTCGTCGAAGAAGATCTGAGAGACCATCTCGCTTCACCTTACTCGCCGCCGCTTCCTCCTCCGGTAAGGTTCAGAAATGGCCACCGTCACTACCAATGCTTCACCTAAGTCATTCTCCTTCTCTTTTTCCAATCCTCTCAAATCCCTTATCCCTACCAAGTCACCATCTCTCTACTATCCACCTCGCAACACGAACCATCACCGTCTAGGTTTATCAGTAAACGCTTCCGTATCATCACCACCTTCAATCGCAACCGCGAATGCTCCTTCACCGGATTACAGAGTCGAGATCCTCTCCGAATCTTTACCCTTTATCCAAAAATTCCGAGGAAAAACCATAGTTGTCAAATACGGCGGCGCAGCCATGACTTCGCCGGAGCTGAAGTCCTCAGTCGTAAGCGATCTTGTACTCCTCGCGTGCGTTGGTCTTCGTCCGATCCTTGTTCACGGTGGAGGCCCTGATATCAACCGTTACTTGAAACAGCTCAATATCCCAGCTGAGTTCCGTGATGGACTTCGTGTGACAGACGCCACTACAATGGAGATTGTCTCTATGGTTTTAGTCGGAAAGGTTAACAAGAATCTTGTTTCGCTTATCAACGCCGCCGGAGCTACCGCTGTGGGGCTATCTGGACACGACGGTCGTCTTCTCACTGCACGCCCTGTTCCCAATTCAGCTCAATTGGGTTTCGTTGGTGAAGTTGCGAGAGTAGATCCATCTGTATTGCGTCCGCTTGTTGACACCGGTTATATTCCAGTGATTGCCTCTGTTGCTGCTGATGATTCTGGTCAAGCGTACAACATCAATGCAGATACGGTGGCTGGAGAACTCGCTGCTGCGCTTGGAGCTGAGAAACTGATTCTGCTGACCGATGTGGCTGGAATCTTGGAGGATAAAGAGGATCCGAGTAGCTTGGTGAAGGAGATTGATATAAAAGGAGTGAAGAAGATGATTGAAGATGGTAAAGTTGCTGGTGGGATGATTCCTAAAGTCAAGTGTTGTATAAGGTCTCTTGCTCAGGGAGTTAAGACAGCGAGTATTATTGATGGAAGGAGACAACATTCGCTGCTTCATGAGATTATGTCTGATGAAGGAGCTGGAACTATGATTACTGGATAACTTTGCTATAAGGGGTGATCGATCATCAAAATCAAAGTTGAGGTTTTTGTATTTGATTATGCCAGTGTTTGTTCATTAGAATGTGAACTCTGTTCTATAAAATTATGATAATTTCTGATTAGTCTTAAAAAGACAAAATTTTCAGCAGCAGTTTTTTTTTGTTTGCATATGCAACTTTGATGATCGTCTATAGTCTTAGAAAGTTTACATTTTTGGAGACAATAAAGTTCAATGAATAAACTGTTCTACGGATATGTTTAAGTAGATCTTCTTCTTTGTCATTTGTTTAGCTCTGTTTCTTCTTTGCTTGAAATAATATACATATCTGATTCAAAGGAAGAGGTTTGGCATATTGTTTCTGCTAACATCTTTGCTTGCCAAACTGCTCCAAGTTTAATCGATAGACACATTCTTGCTGGGATGAGTACATCGAAGAACATTTTCAGATCCTTTATGATCTGGTCAGTTCCTGATTTTATTAGTTGCGAAGGCTCCCCTCATAGGTTGTGATTAGATCACTATCCATTTGACAATTGTTACCAAAGCTCTGAGGCTTATAGTACTTGTTAAAGTGAAAAGAACTCCACTTTACACCTTGTCTCTGCTTCAAACTGAACACCTAGAACTAAAAATGTTATGAAATCTGATCGCATATCTCACTTCCCTGTCTGGTCTCCTCCTCTACACTATCTACTGCTTCTTTCGTATTCAGGTCAACGAGTTGTGTTTTGCTGGACCCTAGTTTCGCTCTTGGGCTTTCGCTAAGCCCAATAATATAATTTATTTTCTAATTGTCGACTGACCCAACGAGAACTGCTGCATCAAAATTCAAAAGCGATACTTCACCTCAGACTCAGTGGTAGGATTCGGATTGGGCCCAGAAGAGATACTCTACCTGCGCGTGAAAGCCACACGCATCTGTCTAATTGGTATCACAGACTACAGAGTGTCACCGTGACACTGTCACGTGACAAGTGTGTGTGGTCGTGGTGGTGAGTAGGACGTGAGAGGGATGGACCATAATTGCATAATCTTCATTTCAAGTAAAGTGAAAACTGTGGTGGGCAACAACGAACCTTCCTTCCTTCAATTTACACTGTCACCGGCTTTAGAGTTTGGACCCACGAATCAATGCAAGTTGCCATCTTTCGAGGACCCATTTCAGCTCCAAAAGTCCCACAACTTGATCTCTTTTTTTTTTAGGCTTTTGTGCCATTGTCCTTTCCCCTCACTTATTGAGATGTTTTGCTTCAGCATTATTGGCTCATTTTAAACTGTAAACTGGCACTAACTGCCATCCTTCTGTCCAAGAAGATCTCGAGTCATGTACGAAATACTAAACACTGTGGTGTGGGATCAATAGTTATATATTCCCAACTCGATGTTTAGTTTCTTTGTTTCTTTGTTTGTCCTATCCCAGTAGTGGAATCTCAAGAAACAATTGCAGAGATTTCAAAATTTTGGTACTTTTCATGTCATGTCCTAATAACACCAAAATAATGGATTCTTTCAAGATTTAGATTAAACAAAATCTTTATCAGTAAAAGGAACAAAAAAATCTTATTCCATCATCTCTCAAAAGAGATCATGACATTCTTGAATCATAATAACCCATAATCATCATCATCAGTACCTATCTAGTAAACGCATACAACTACCTTTCAACCGCGAAAAAGCCTTAGTTTTTTTCAGTCATAAAACAACGAGCAGTGTTCATCATCATCTAAATGTTTCCTCTTCAGCTTTCTGCGGAGAAAGACAAAGACTCTTTGTCAACTGGACTTAACAGTGTCCAGATCGATCCCTCTTGTTCTTCCCGGTGCTCCCCCGTTAATTGAAGATAAATCCAACACAATCCTGCCCACCAAATGACGTTTCATTAACAAACTCTCCATAGAGAATCATCAGGTTAAGAATAAGAAAGAACTTTAATCGTTTTAGATCAGGTACATGTTCTTTTTGGTTCCTTCTCCTGTTTCTTGAATCAAAATTTTATCTTCCATCTTTGTTACTGTGTGCTCCTTGGGAAGATTGATCCCTTCTACTGCTTTTATCAAACAATCACAAAACCCATCAGACTTAATTTCCAACTTAATTAGCATACATTGAGTCTACTCTTTGTACTTTTTGGTTTTATTACCTTCCACGCCATTCACAGGAGCATGATCGTCTATCCCCAAGAGATTCTGAAACAGAGAACCATTGTTGTTTAAAATGGGAACGGTTTAAGAGGAATTTGTTCATAACAAAAGGCGGTTAAGTTACCTTAAGGTTCTTGTAGCATTCCTCAAGGTTGTCATTATACAGAATGTGTTCAAAAATGCCTGAGGATTTCCCAGCTTTGATCTCTGCTTCAGCGTTTCTAAGCCGTTTTTGGATCTGTTCCTCTGTCTCGGTTCCTCTGTTTTTTCAACACTTAAATATTAAGAACTTGCAATGACAAATCTGAAGAAACAACAGCTCAATAGTCTAATCTTTACCGGGCACGTAGCCGATCTTCAAGTTCTTTCATTGAAGGAGGACATACGAATATGAATATCGCATCTAGAGAACTCGCCTTCACTGACCTCGCTCCTTGAACATCAATGTCAAGAATGCATCTCTATACGCACAAAAAAAATTGATCATTTGATGGATCAACGGCATGAGAGAGGTGATACAAAGATGATCGCTATATTACCTTTCCTGAATCTGTTACCACTTCAACAGATTCAATGCTGGTTCCGTACAGATTACCATGAACAGACGCAAACTCGAGAAACTTCCCATCTTTGATTTCTTTCTCCATAACAGTTTTATCAGTGAAATGGTAATGAACACCACTCTTCTCCATACACCTTGGAGCTCGAGTTGTGTGGCTCACAGAGAACCCAAACATTGAAGGAAACTCCTTCATAAGCATCGATATAAGTGTTCCTTTTCCAACTCCTGAAGGACCGCTTATAACAATAGGCTTCTCTGCATTTCCCCTTACTCCTTTACTCCAAGCAACAACCTCTCTTCCTAGCAATTTCCTTTGCTCCCGGACAAAAGGAGTATCCACCTATATGACGACTCAAAACATATGAGAATGAGAGCCCAACAAACTCTACACTCTAAACATCGATATCTCCATGGACTAACCTCGAGGAACCAAATGGAGTCATCAGAAGCAGAACCTTTTTTGATAACCAAAATCCGTCCTTTCTTCAGAACTATGGCAGAGTAACCCTTGCAGGGTTTAGGGCCAGTTCCAAGAACAGTAGGACTAGACCTGAAAACACATCCCAAAGTGACTTAAAATCCTTAAGACTCCACACCAATGGAAGAAACTAACAAATCAAGATAGCATCAATGAACACACACCACTTGTTAGTGATTATGTCATGAATCTGAACACCAAGGAACAACGGATTCCCTTCATGATTTCCACCAATCACAAACTGCAAAAGAAAAACCTCAGACCAAATCAAAATTCGAAGAACAAAGAACAGTTTCACATTACTAAAACATCAAGATTGGAAGCTTACGGATCGATCCCCAATTTGGACAGATGTATCTCTGTTTTTAGGTTCAGATTTGACACCAAAGCCATTGGTGTAACCATTCTCCAGATGAGTCACAAAAAAAGCTGGTGCTTCTCCCTATTAACAACAACAACAACAAAAAAAAGTGAGAAATCTATGAAGGAAGAAGAGCAACGAGGTTAATCGCGCCAAAAAAAGGCTCACCATAGAGATTTTCTATGCCTCCAAGAAGACACAACTCAGCCTGAGCAATGGCACACAAGCACAAACATAAGAGATCAAAACAAACAATAAATCTCAAATTTTCTCAGAAAGTTAGACCTTTTCTATGTTTGTTTTCTGCACCAAATGCAGATTCAACCAAAATAAAGACATGAACACAGATCTCAGCATAAAGCAATGAAAAAAACGATCTATTGAAAAGACAAACTAAACCCAGAAATCAATAAATAAATAAAGGAGAACCCTTTATCCTACCTCAAATATGAACACCGGAAAACGCAGAGAAAGGAAGAAAGCTTCTGGATCGAATTAGCAGACGAGAGAGGATGCGAATTTATATCCGGAGATTTTAGAATTCACAAACAAGTTTTGGGATGCTTTTTCAACAACAAGATTCAGTTTTTTTATTTGCCTATTTGATTATCTCTCTGGAATTTTCTGGCTCAGCTACGAGAAGAATATATATATATAATCAGCTGTGCGTCGACGAGTCCCAAGACAACTTGGAGACAAGCGGCCGTGACGGTGTATGTTGAAAAAACTCTCCGAGGTTTTTTATAAGTTTTACCGTAATCAGATTTTATTATTATATTATTACCTTTATTTTATAAAAGTAATGTCTATTTATCTTTTTGTTAAAAAGAAATGCAGGAGACGACAAAAAAAAAAAAAAAAAAAGAAATGCAGGAACGAAAAAAGCTAATGTACTGTATTTACCAAAAAAAAAAAAAGATTTTTAATTGATGAGATGGAATTACTCGTATCGTTTTGTTTCTTTTAGCTAAAATGAATTATCATTATTCATTACTCATGGGAGCCAATTAAAGTGTTACACATTTTACACTGTCAACATAGGTTTTTATAATTGAATTTTAAATAAATATACTCTTTTCGTTGTATGATTTTTTGAACAAATACTTACAAATTAAAAATCATTAATTTTTGATAACTTTAGGTAAAAATACTATTTAATATCAATCTTAACACGAATTAACCAATGAAAAAAAAAAATTTACAAAGATAAATTGCTAAAGCCAATAAACTTATAATTAATTTAACATAGATTTGAGAAAAAAATCATTTATTTTTGAAAATAAAAAATAATTCTAGATTATTAGTTGTACGGTTTAGTCAATGATAGCTCACTTATATATTTACTTACAATAATTTTAAATTGTATTTTATAAAGTAAATAAATTAAAAGCATAATATAATTAATATTTGATATTTTTTTAGAAATACCCCTGTCCCTTTTTTACTGATTTAAAAAGTTATAATTTATTATTTACTAACTCATTTGATATTTGTGTCAATTATATATTCCACTAAATGTATTGTTGTAATAAAGCCGAGTGTTAGGTGGTGCTAACTTCACGGAAAAACACTCACTTTTTTCTTTTGCTATTTTTTATTTTTGTTGATAGTTTTGATGCACTATGATAATTATGATTTAAATTAATTAAATTTGATTTGTTCATAAGTAAGTCATGTGCTGTTATATTGTACTTTATATATGTGTAGTACTATAATTTCTCATTTTCCCCTTTTTAATTTGATTTTGTGGTTGCTTTTTGTCTATATTTTTTCTTTAGTTGTGATAAATTATTTAAATCAAAATGCTAACCAAGATTTGAGAAAAACAAAATTGAACAGACTTAGGTTTGAAAATCACACAAGTGGTGTACTATTCAATTTATTAAAGTGAATTCTCTAAATTTTATAATTTTGAAATTTGATATTATATAAAGAAAATGATTTGTGTGATTCAAAATCTTTATAGTGTATGATTCAAAACATTAACTCATGAAACTTCACAAGATTTCATTTCAAATTACTTGATAAGTTGATATATATACCAAACAGAAAAAAAATTGTTGTGAATAACACTGAATTTTAATGAAGTATTTTAATCTTACTTGAATAACATCATAAGTTAAATTTATTAAACATAACTTACAAATAGAAGATCTAATAATACTAATATTCCAAAAACACGGTTTAAACTCAAAAAATTGAATAACAGTAAAATAGTACTTTGTGAATAACATATTTGGATTTGAAAATCTTTTTTTTATATATATTTTCTGAAAAAGACTTGAACCCTTATGCAAATGGAGGATTTTATGGTTGAATCGAACATGTTTTTTAGTAGTAGATATGATAGTAGGTAGATCCGAATGGTTGGGACTTGGGTATGTACTATATGTTAAATTGTTTTAAAAATTAGAAAATACTATAGATTAATTGTTGACAAAATGGTTGATACAATCATTTTCACTATTGAAATTTTTATATAGGTTAACAATTGTGGATATGAATTAAAGTAATCTTGTTGGAGAACAAGCCAAAAGTAGTAGACTTTGGAAAAGAGGGTTTAGACGAATAAAACAAAAGGGTTATAGTGAGAGTTAACGTAGAGAAGAAGTTGTTATTTAGAATAGTTACGTAAAATGTGAAAACGAACCAATAATGTTTGGACAAGGCCATATGGGATTGGTTAGAAACATGGGATTTGTCCCCAAAGATTCAAACTTGCCATTCAAACATGACATGATTTTGACCGAACCATCAATCCTCCAATTTTGAATATTGGAAAGTGGATAAGGACATACATCAATTGTTTTCTTTGTCCTCTATCTCTCTTTTTTTTTTTGTATTTTAACATTCTCTTTTTCGTTATTCCACAATACTTTACACAAAGACGAGTCCACTATGACCATTTGGGAAAAGAACAATTATCCATGACCGATCAATTAACACACTTTTGGAATCAAAAATATAGGCCAGGAGGTTTGAATTTCACCGGTTATGACGTGTTAGACGAGTTTGGTCAGATTCGAGCTTTTAACGTGAAGGTTATCTTGGTTATATAGTATTAGTATTATTAGTTCAGATTAACTGTACCAATCTAATGCTTTAAAGGATTACAAAAGGATTACAACTAAATATTGTGCATGATTCATTTTGAACTGATGAAACTCACTTTCCTTTTGATCGGTTATACTAGTTTGATCTAAGTGAACTCTCCCCCCCCCCCCCAACCCCCCATTTATATTAGTTTTGGTTTGTTTTACGTTTCCTATATGAGATATACTAACATATATAGGAGGACAGGACATGTAGTCCAAGTCGTCTTGAACCAATTTCCAACAGAGTTGTTAGGCCCATATCAACCAAGAGCCATGATAATAGTTTGGTGATTGTTGAAAGATAAACATGTTTAGGGATATGACCTAACAAATTCAAACTAAACAAGATGCCCTGATATCCATGGAAGATTCCATTTTAGTTCGGCCGATAAGTACATTTTGTTTGTAAACCAAAAAAGATAATGTATACGACTATTAAAAGTATGTATAAGACAAGGCCGTGGACTAGGTCGTGGTCTTTTTGAGGATGCTAACGTTAACGTGTTTCCGACGTCATAACCAGATTGTATCAATAGTTTTGTTGGTTTTCGAATTTCGAGTCGATTATAAATTTCAAGCGTGTTGATACGTTTATTTCACGTTGACAAGTTTCTAACAATCCTAATTTGAATTAGTATACGTCAACTTCTTTCTTTTATATATATGCCAACCCAAAAAAAAAAAAAAAAAAAACACATATAGCCTTATATCGCATGATCATGACTAGGTGATTGGGCTCTGCTGACAAATGTGACCATTAGTAGCCCACGTCGATCGGTCTATTGTTGAGTAGTCCACTACGCCTTATACAACCGATAGTGTGGCCTTTGCACAATCTAACAAAACCTGATTCTACAAATCGTAACAAGTTTTATATATTTTTGGATGGTCGAGCTTGATCCGGCGAATCTCAGTTAACATCAACGTATGGAATCAATTGGCAACATACAACATACAACTCAATTCTCTGTTAATTAACTCTTTTCTGTTCACTATTAACTTGTCGCAGAAAGATATTACACTCATTTCCTTCTCTGCTAGGGTAGAATCTTCCTTGTTTTCTTACCAATAGTTAACGTTTTGGGTAGCAACCCGATGTTGTTAACTAAGTAAATAAATATTATTTGGGGGGGGGGGGGTCAATTAATCAGAAAATGACAAGAAACAATATGCATAATTAGCAATTAATTAGTGAGAATTGAGTAAAATAACTGGGAATTGACATCTGGGATACGTGGCGTCTTTCAAGTGGAATTGATGAAGCTGACGCAAGTAGCTTATGTTAGCGGGAAAACACGTTACCACTCACTTTGCGCCACGTAGATAATCTTTGCTACGATAAAACACGTGTCATAAGCATTATCTCCATTTTTTTCGTGGCGGGTTCTGTTTTGCCGACACTTCTCGCACTACGTTCATCTATAACTTTTTGCCTTGTGAAAGGCTTTTCATAATCTCTTAATTATTTTCCTATTTAAAATTTACTGGCTGATGCAGCGAGAATTTGAAATATTTCCAAATATTCTCAAATATCTTTAGTTATTATCTTTAGCTAATTATTTATTATTATTCTATAATATTCCAAGTATTAGGGTTTTAATGTTTATTATAAATAGAGACTTTTATGAAAATTTGTAATTTAGTTTATGATTGATATTGATTTTGATTAATAAAGTTGAGAGGTTTCTCCTTTATAAACGAGCTTTCGGGCACGGGGAAGAGTATTCCCAACTTATCTAACAAGCTTTCGGGCACGGGGAAGAGTATTCCCAAATTTATCCTTTTTATCGCTTCCGCTCTCTATCAGTTGGTATCAGATTCTTCTCGAAATATCTCTTATTATTATCTCTTAATTTATTTATTATAATTATTCTAGAATATTCTTAGTTTTAGGGTTTTTTGCTTTATTATAAATAGGCTTCTTAAGCCTCCTATTGTATTCAGTTATTTGATATATTGATTAATCGAAAGATTTAAAGAGGTTTTAATAAACCACTGTGAAGAGTATTCACAAATCCAAGAGCTTTTGCGAAAGCCCTGAGAGGAGGACTCTCAAACCCTAGATTTCCGGGTATTCTGAGAATCAACGGATCTCTAGTCCTATCCCTAGAAGCTTCCGCTCCATCATTTGGTATCAGAGCTAAAACGGTTCTTTTAATGATGCCTCCTAAGAATTTACAAGACCAACAAAGCGGACTACCTGATGCTTTACAACAAGCATTACTGGATTTTACACAGAATTTTGGTAGAGCCCTTGAGGTACACTTTCAAGCCCAGCTTCAATTGATTGATCGACTGCAACAACAACAACAAGTTTTGCCTCATGATAACCATCGATTCAATGAAGATGTTGAACCCGATCTTGAAGACGATGTTGATGATGAAGTTGTTGAAGGCGATAACGAAGATGGTGCTGTTGTTGATGAGGATGATGATGGAAACGATGGTGATGAAGATGACACCATGGTTTCAGAGTTCGTCTTCAAAGAGAAAGATTTTGTGAATCTGGTTCGTGCAGATACCGGGCGAAATCGGATCTGTGCAAATTTCGGGCAAGATACGGTTCGTGCAAATTTCGGGTTAAACCGGATTCGTGCAAAATCTGTGCAAAATCAAAAGTTGGGTATTAAAATGGATCTGCGAAGATTTTCTTTGTTGAACACCCTGTTGAAGATTCGAGGGCGAATCTTTCTTGGCCGGCGGGAGCTGATGCATCGCATATACAAGATTCGAGGACGAATCTTTTCTTGGCCGGCGAGACCTGATGCAGCGAGATATTCCAAATATCTCTTATTATTATCTCTTAATTTATTTATTATAATTATTCTAGAATATTCTTAGTTTTAGGGTTTTATGCTTTATTATAAATAGGTTTCTTAAGCCTCCTATTGTATTCAGTTATTTGATATATTGATTAATCGAAAGATTTAAAGAGGTTTTAATAAACCACTGTGAAGAGTATTCACAAATCCAAGAGCTTTTACGAAAGCCCTGAGAGGAGGACTCTCAAACCCTAGATTTCCGGGTATTCTGAGAATCAACGGATCTATAGTCCTATCCATAGAAGCTTCCGCTCCATCACTGGCGATGCTCTCTAATTATTTATAAACAAATGTAACGAGTTCATAGGTTAAAAATGTTAAGTAAGTGGGTTTTTAGTTTCCACCAAATTACTTAATTAATTTTTGCTGAAAATATCTTGAAAAGAACACGTCTTCTTCGTAATTCCACCCAAAAAAAAGAACACGTCTTCGTAAAATGAAAGTCGAATATGTATTTATTTTACTGGACAAAGGTAGCTTTCATGGAAAGGACTTTACACTTGTTATTTTTACCTCTCGTGTAAAACAAACTTTTAATTCGTTACCCAAAATTATAATTAAATGATAATCATTGATTATTTATTCCTTACCCTTGTTTCTTCTCCTTCCATGCATCATCATCACCCTAATTATAATCAAACCTAGACCATCTAATTACGACACTCCACTACTACTGGTACTAGTAACAATTCCGATGTTGACTGTGTACGGTCAAGAAAGGTCAGCGGACACCACCTCAAGTACGGCCGATGCTTCCGATAGCCGGGATCAGACACCGGAGACCGTCGTGAGAGATATTCACGCGATGACGACGACTACGGAGCTTTCTCGGCCACAACAACAAAGGGCAGGTGGAGGATACTTGTCTCCGTCTGGGTCTATTGCTTTTAGCGACGGAACTACTTCTTCCGGGGAGAATTTCACCACCGTGAGCAGAGAGTTCAACGCTCTAGTCATCGCCGGCTCTTCCATGGACAACAACAGCGGGAATAACCAATCAGGTAGCAGTCATCGTGACGTCATACGTGACGAAAGAAACGAGCTGACCAGGATCGGGGAAAACGACGATGTTGGAGATCATGATCACCAGGTGCCTGAGGAAGACTCGAATCCTTGGGCGATTGTACCGGACGGTTACAATAACCGGGACGGTTCGGAGGACAATAACATCGTGTTGACGTCATCAGGTGGTCAGAATCGGATGGTGGCGACTGCTTCGGTGCAGAGGGTTAAGAGGGAGGAGGTTGAAGCCAAGATAACGGCGTGGCAAACGGCGAAGGTGGCCAAGATTAATAATAGGTTTAAGAGACAAGACGCCGTTATTAACGGTTGGTTGAATGAGCAGGTTCATAAAGCTAACTCTTGGATGAAGAAAATCGAGGTGATTCACTTTTTATTTGCTTTTCCGATTAACATAACAAAGCGACTTAAGCTCTGTTTCGGTTCACATACGTTTCTTGAAACTGTTAGCATTTACATGTGAACCATAATTAATTTAGAAAAACTATGTAACGATTTCAATTTTCCATAATTGTTTTTTCGAAAAATAATTGCAAACGATAAACGTGAACAAGCGTTCTAAATTCGTTTCTTTGCATTTAATCGTGGGATATTTTTGAATGTGTGATACATCAATGTAACAAAACGGTCAAAAAGACTTACTATAGCTATATTGGACTATGGAAGTAGGTTATGCAAAATTGATACATGTATGTGGGTGCAGAGGAAATTGGAAGAAAGGAGAGCCAAGGCGATGGAGAAAACACAAAACAAAGTGGCTAAAGCTCAGAGGAAGGCAGAGGAGAGGAGAGCGACGGCCGAAGGAAAAAGAGGGACTGAGGTTGCTAGAGTTCTTGAAGTCGCTAATCTCATGAGAGCCGTGGGACGACCTCCGGCCAAAAGATCCTTCTTCACTTTCTCCTAGCTCATTTTAATTATACCAAATAAATTCCCAATATATATAGGCTACAAAAGGACCATTTTGTGTTGGAAAATCAATTAATGTGTATATATATTGAATGTAATGGTTTTAAAGGCACTGATAAATATTTGTAATTGTTTGCTTTATACTTTGTTGCACCACAAAAGACTAAATCAAATGTTGTTTGTGAGCCAGGAAAATAAAAAAAAGATTGAAGCTCTTATTACTTATAGTTTCCAACTCTGTTTCAATAAATAATTTTTAATTACACTCTCTTACCTTCCCTCGTGTATATACTAAGATTGTGAGAATAAATGTCAATGCAAATTACTAATCCGTGCTGCAATTAAAATGTAAAAAAAAAAAATGTAAGACACTACAATTTACTAATCCATGCTGCAAGACTCGTAACCGTACGTACGTCTAACTGGAACGAATCCTAAAAATTCACTAACAGGTTGCTCAAACAAGCAATCTTTTAATATACAAGGTCTATGAGTATATCTTACTAGACTCTTACAATGAACAAAACATAGATCTTATTATATAAACACAAGCTAACAGCAGAACAGTAATAGATTTTGAGATGGGGTACTGAAGAAGGGGTCAAGGGGATTAACTATTTTCCGTTTATGCTTCGTCTAGTCTTCTACCATAATGGGCATAATAAACAAAATTTGTCTTTGCTAAGTCTGACATTAAATAAACAAAAATTGTCCACTTGTATTAAAAAACATTTGGTAAGCAAACCATGACACAGTCTTTAGCAATGATCAAATCAAAGAGTTAGTATGGAAAATAGAGCGTATCAATTAACCCCACTTTCTTCTTGCCTAATTAAGCCTAATCATATGGGGCTATTACAGTTAGCTAGTATCTCTTCATTAATGCTAAATTTGGTAAACAAATTGAATTGAGTCATTGACTTGGTAAAGAGCAACAGAAACACTCGTGTAAGTAAAGGAAGGTTCATCAGGAGATATGGATCTTTTACCTCATTCCTACTCCGTTGACTTTTTTTAATTATTTTATATATACACGTACGTATAAACTAACTCCGAAGTAAAGTTTTTTAATTATTTTTGTGCTCCTTTTAAAATCGAGGTTTCGACCCAATGGCACGTATATGATTCGGTAGACTGAAAAAAGTATGAGATAGCTTGATTTCTACATCAGTTATTTTTGATAGATCAAAATATGGCTTTTATATTTAAAGAGAGTAAAGAACTTTTAATTCAGAACCAAAATCTATAGTATCAAACTTGACAGTAAAGCATATCATTCTAATAAAAAAAATTGCATATGAAGTTATGAACCTCAATTATATGGTTAGTACTTATTAGTTGTATCGAAGTCAAAAAAAAAAAAGTTAGTTGGATCCGACGAAAATGATTAAAAAGAGTCAAACTCGCCGGGTTTGACCTTATTTTATTTTTTTAAAGAGCAAAAAATAATAATATAAAGGTGGCCGCTTATTTAAGAGACCCAGCCACGAGGATAATTACGATTTTACCCATAGTAACGTGTTACAGACTCGCTTTCTATTTAAAACCCCTCAGGTAAGATTCCTCAATCACCCCTTGCTGTCTTACTTAGAAAGTTATCAAAACCTACGCATTAGTAAACTTTTTTCCGAAATTAAAATGAACCAATTACTACGAATTAAAATTACACTAAGATTACATAGAGGGTCAATACAGTAATTTCGAAAGATAGCATTATAAAGGTATTTTAAATTTCACACTAGAGTAATGAGAAAACATTCCCTAAAATTATGTTTTATATGTAAAACGAAAACGAAAAGAAAAAAAAAAACAGAGAGGAAAAAAAAAGTCGTCAAAAACAACAATCATAGAGCTTTGTAGGTGGAGAAGAAGAAGGGAGGGAAGAAGATTCTTTTGACCTTCCTTCCATCACCTATCTCTCCTTTTCTGTTAATTAATTTTATTTTATGAATTCGAAAAAAAGAAACATGATACAATTTCAGCAATAAAATCATTTGACGTTCTTCTCCGTAATCACGCGTTGAAATTTTCTTACCTTTTCATATAAGTTTTATCATCTTCTTCGTCGTTTTCTCTCATATATACACCAATCCCTTCTCTTCCAGATTCCTCTCAAAGTACGATCCTTTCTAATTATCCCACTTTCCTGGAATTGCGTCGTCAATCTCTCTTCAACTGCACCAGATTTGATTGATTTTTTTTTTATAAAGATTTTGATCTGGGAGAACAATAATGGGTAATTGTTGCGGAACGGCGGGATCACTGGCTCAGAATGATAATAAGCCCAAAAAAGGAAGGAAGAAGCAAAACCCTTTCTCCATCGATTACGGTCTTCATCACGGTGGTGGAGATGGAGGTGGCAAAGCTCTTAAGCTTATCGTCTTGTCTGATCCAACAGGTCGAGAGATCGAGTCGAAATACACGCTCGGGAGAGAGCTGGGTCGTGGTGAATTCGGTGTTACGTATCTATGTACCGACAAGGAGACCGATGATGTTTTCGCTTGTAAGTCGATTTTGAAGAAGAAGCTCAGGACGGCTGTGGATATCGAGGATGTTAGGAGGGAAGTTGAGATCATGAGGCATATGCCTGTCCATCCTAATGTTGTTACTTTGAAGGAGACTTATGAGGATGAGCATGCTGTGCATTTGGTTATGGAGCTTTGTGAAGGCGGTGAGTTGTTTGATAGGATTGTGGCCAGAGGGCATTATACCGAGAGAGCTGCTGCTGCTGTTACTAAGACCATCATGGAAGTTGTTCAGGTTCGTCTGGGTTTTTTTTTGCTATTCTCGGCTTTAAGTTTTAGGATTGAGAGTCGTGAGATGTCTTGGCTTGAGCTCTAGTGTGAATCTTAGTCCCATTGTTGCTGATTCTTTGTTTCAGCTTTTTGGACATTATTGATATGTAGCATTGCTTTAAAAGGCACAATTTGCTGCCGGAAGATTCAAAAATCATTTCTTTTCATGTAAATTGAAATTCTTTGGGAGTGATTTTAGATGTGAGATTAATGAGTTTCCAATGTGTTCTTTCCAGGTGTGTCACAAGCATGGGGTAATGCACAGGGACCTGAAACCCGAGAACTTCTTGTTTGCAAACAAGAAGGAGACTGCAGCTCTCAAGGCTATTGATTTCGGTCTCTCTGTTTTCTTTAAACCAGGTAAATGTGGTCTTGGTGCTCTATACAAATGTTTTCACTTTGAGGTGTGGTAAAAGATCTTAACTCACACCATTGTTTTTCCTTGTAGGCGAGAGGTTTAACGAAATCGTTGGTAGTCCGTACTACATGGCTCCCGAGGTGTTAAAACGAAATTACGGTCCAGAAGTTGACATTTGGAGTGCAGGTGTAATTCTTTACATTCTGCTCTGTGGTGTCCCGCCATTCTGGGCAGGTAATTTTTATCAGTCTAGCTATGTTTTCTTCTTCTTGGGTCGTCTGTGGCAAATGTTGTCATCAGGGGGACATATTTGAAGTGATCATAAGAAATAACGAACCTTGTTTTTTTGTTTGTTTATACCATTTTCAGAAACTGAACAAGGAGTTGCACAAGCAATTATTCGATCGGTCCTGGACTTCAGAAGGGACCCATGGCCTAAGGTTTCTGAAAGCGCAAAAGATCTTATCAGGAAAATGCTTGATCCTGATCAAAAGCGTCGTCTTACAGCTCAGCAAGTGCTAGGTACAGTTTCATGGTTTCTAATAATACATTTTTCTTATGTTCTCATATGAAATCTTTTATAGACAGAGTTTTAATTGATATCTGCTTCGTTTTCCCTAGATCATCCGTGGTTACAGAATGCAAAGACAGCTCCCAATGTATCATTGGGTGAAACAGTGAGAGCAAGGCTGAAGCAGTTCACGGTTATGAACAAGCTCAAGAAACGAGCACTCAGGGTAAAATACATACCCTTTAGAAACTATCTGACATATATATATCTTAGTGATCTAAAAAGCCTAACAATTGCTTCTTTTTGTCTGTTATGTTTTCTCAATAGGTTATTGCTGAGCATTTATCAGATGAAGAAGCTTCTGGTATAAGAGAAGGGTTCCAAGTTATGGACACAAGCCAAAGAGGGAAGATTAATATCGACGAGCTAAAAATCGGGTTGCAGAAACTTGGTCATGCCATTCCCCAAGATGATTTACAAATTCTAATGGACGCTGTAAGCTTTGATTTACCATTACTGTTTAATTGCTGGTTTTGTGAAGTTAAAATACACAATGTACTGAGCTCTCGATGGCTTACTTCTTTTGCAGGGAGATATCGATAGAGATGGGTATTTGGACTGTGATGAGTTCATTGCCATATCAGTACACCTAAGGAAAATGGGCAATGATGAGCATCTCAAGAAAGCGTTTGCCTTCTTCGATCAAAACAATAACGGATATATCGAAATAGAGGAATTAAGAGAAGCTTTATCTGATGAAGTTGGTACAAGCGAAGAAGTTATTGATGCCATTATTCGCGATGTTGATACCGATAAGGTTTGTTGAGTAGCGTCACCATTTCTCTTTATGTTAATTGTTTGATTGAGAAAACAGCTAAACATCATCAAACTGTGTATTGGCAGGATGGAAGAATAAGTTACGAAGAGTTTGTGACGATGATGAAAACAGGAACAGATTGGAGAAAAGCTTCGAGACAGTACTCAAGGGAACGGTTTAACAGTATCAGTCTGAAACTGATGCAAGATGCGTCATTGCAGCAGGTCAATGGTGATACAAGATGAGTGAAGCTGAATCGGTGTCACTCAGAACTGGAAGACTAAATCAATGGGATGCTAATCTTTTTCTTCATTTCTTTTTGGGTTTTTCTTGACACCACGATTTAAAGCATTTTAGGCATATAAAGTTGTAACGATTTGTGTGTTTGATTTCCTGGCTGAAGAGCGAGCGAGTACTGATGAAGAGAGAACAAGAGTGTTGTTGGCCTTTGGCTGTGTGTAGATATTTTGTATAATCTTATGTTGATAATGAAGAATTGAAGATGGTCATCAAATTTTCTTTTCATACTCTGTAATTTTCTATAACCCATTCAAGAAGAGAGATTGGATTTGCTATTAATTTTTTTATTTTGGTGAAGCCGAGAAGATGCAGATCCTTTTATGTCTAAAAAAATATCAACGGGAGAAAAAAATGTCTATGAGTTGTATAATGAACAAGGGGATCCCAATGAACAAGAACTTATTAAACAAATTTCAACCATCTCCTCAAAACTCATCATTAAGCAAATGAGTTATGGAAATATTATTGGGCAATGAGAGTTTGCTTTAACAAATAAGCTTTCGGCCTGGAAAAAAAAAAAAGAAGACAGAAAAAGGCTTTTGGCCCGAAAAGAAAAACTACATGATGTGCAAATTATATCAGAGTTTTGTTTGAAGAAAAAAAGCAGGATGAATCATGGTCCTTTTTTTGTCCGACTTTGTATTTGTGAATTGTGCCTTGGCTTTTTGTTGTCAAAGTCTTTGTAGAAAACAATTCTATAGAATGCTTTATTGAAGTATATAATTTAGAAATATGTTTAGCCAGAAAAGTTTTATCAATTCATACCAAAGTACGAAAACGATAACAAGTGCCAAGTGTTTTAATTGCGGCATCAAAATATACGCAAGTGGATAATTTTTTGTCCGCTTTATTATTGTCATCATGCATGCAATGAAAACACCAATCATTTCACTAACAATCATATAGCAATGAAATTTCAAAACACAAATAGACTAGTTCAGAATCATTTTAAACTGTACTAGCTGAATTCATAACTGTTCATGATATCGATATACTACAAATTTGATACCAACAATGTTTATTCATGTATAGCATTATTGACATCTGTCAAGTATAATAATCACAAAAACCATATGAGTAAAAAGAAAATTTTTTAACTTTTTTGGGATCATTGCTTTAAATTTGGTTAAAACGTCTAATACAATATCCACGTCGTAGTAGTGTTATCGACACGGGGGACTTACGTGGCTATTTTGTATTGTTACCAAACTTTTGATTGAAAAGTGTTAAAAACAATCAATCATGCAAAAGGTGTGAGGGTTGAACGGTACACGAAGGATACACATGTCCGATGTCGACTTTGTAGCTAATTATACCTTTGGAAGGACACTAATCATGATTACAGAGTTAACATTAAAGTAACTACATATCATTTTATTAATCGTCGTACTTAAATTAAATACAAAGAGCCAACAAAGTTTATAATCGTATAACACACTTAATGATAAAAAAGTCGAAAGTGACAAAGAAATCTAGACAAGGACATGGCGAACTGATCAAAAACATGCAAGCAAGAGATGCGCTTATTATTAGAAATTTTTCACATTTAATTAAAACTCGAGCTGATGTGTGTAATATTGGACCCACTTGCGCCGTTTCATTACAAAAACTTCACCTACTTTTATCTATTTTTAGGCGAAGTATAATATATCTTAATCCGAATTAAAGAGCAATTATTAGAATTAAATGAATGAGAGAAGATCATTACAAAAGCTTGATCGTGTGTTTCTTTTCTCTCTCTCGTTTCATCTGAATAAATAACTAATATATATCATATTATGATCCGCATCATTCGATTCAATATTTGATTTAACTAATTAACGAGTCGATATATATATCAAAAACTCTATCTTCATATACATAGCGATCGATGGACCTACGTAAAGATTAGATTCGGTTTTAAAACATTATCGTATCATTTCATTATATTATCGTTCTATGTATTATCCATAACAAGAAGTAGTGGCTTTTAGTACGAAGGAGCAGCCAAGTGAGTAAACCCGGTTCAAACCAGTCGTCGAGTGTTGACCACACACGTTGTTTGAGATAAGCGGATAAGGATCGTGACATCGATCGAATTATACACGTTATGTTGGGTTACACTGTTACGGTCCGTATCTTAAAGACGTTGTTATGTTTTGCTCCGCAAAGGAGTCGGTCAAACTCAAATACAACTTGCATATCTTCTCAAATTAAAACGATCCTGAGTAAAGTAATAAACATGTGTCTCTATTTAATTATTTGTTTCGTGTATATTTTTATAGAAATGTGGGCGGCCTCGATCGTCGTTTCGTTGAAAAGTTTTAATGTTATGATGTCACAAATCTCGTCTTGTACTAGAACAAAATATTGAATCAGAGAATCCCATATATATATGTGATCCAAGTGATATTACCGAGGGACCTGAGTTCTAAACTGAACCAACCAGAGAGAGACTCCAGAGTTGACGTAGTCCTTAAGATTTCAGATCTGATGAGCATTACAAATATAGTCATTACCTAGGATCAAAAACTATATACATTAATAGTTACACGATACGTAAAACTTATAGGTGTGGTGAACCGGTGATGCATGTGTATATTAATTACTGGCACTCCCTGAGACACGCAATTCAAGTATAGGAAACTATACAATTATCCCTATTAAAAAAAGACGCGTATGCAACTACGTTACGCGTTTCTTGTACATTTGGGCTTCCCTATGATTTGTATCAAGTGTAGATGAAATTTAATTTACTACTACGGTTTTATGGTTTCTTAGAATGATTTGATTCGATATTTAATACTATATTTTTTTCTTGCACAACCAGCTTGAAACAACCAAGGTTTTAACATTTTATATCAGCAATTTTCTCCGGCCATATTTTTTTTTTTTTTTTTTTTTTTTTTTTGCTAAAAATGTAAAATGCAATTTTCTCCGGCCATATTAAACTAACAACAATAATTATTTCACCGTTTCGATGTACGTAGTTGACATTTTTGAATTAGGCTAAAATTTGGTATCCTTTTGATCAAAAATTATTAGTTTATATGACAATCGAGAAGAAGTAAAAACAAGAGAACAGTAGAAATAAGTATTTTAATTTTTGCTTGTATGGTATCATGAGTTGTATCTGATACAGCAATGGGAGAGAGACAAAAATATCACGATTTTTCTAGTACTTTTTGTTTTTGCTTTTTACATCTCCCCGGAGGAAAAGTAAATCTAACACGTGGTAGCATCGCAACGGCTATTACCAGATCTCGTCGCATATATAAACCGTCATCTCTCCGCCACCTTCCTTCATTACCCAAACAAAAACACAGTTTACCATCCATTGATAAGATTATTCATTGACGGAGCCACCATTTTTGGCGGCGTTTCCGTACATCTTATTCTTTCTTCTTTTCTAGAAAGCAACATTTAGCCTCTCCACCCTCATATTGCCGTGCTTTACCTGTATCTCTCTCTCGAGCTCTTGTACTCCGGCACCAACAAGAAACATTCCGGTGAGTATTAGTCGGGTTTTAGTCTTATGTTTTAAACTGATATCTAATTGATTGTTCAGGTCAATATTTGTTATTTGTGATTTCTTCGAACTTGTCCTGTGTTAGCCGTTTGGTAGTAGTAGTTTTCTTTTCCGATGATGATATTGATATCTGTTTATCTCGTCGCTCAACTGAGAGATATTTTGAAATCTTCAATTTGCATCTTAGATACATATTCCTTTTTTTTTGGAAAGATTCCAATTAGACTTTGTTCCGGTTATGTAAATATCACTTGAGGGAGTTAGAAATGTCCGCTAGCTCGTTTTTTTGTTGTTGTTGGTAAAAGCTGAATTTTGAACATGTGTACACTAGACTCTGTCAAAAGTTTTATCTTTTGAAAATGGTCTCATAAGGATCTGTTTCCTGACGTTGGTTTACCTGATGTGAATATCTGAGACAGTTAAAACTCGAGCGGCGTTGAGAAGATGACGATTACTTCAAATATCTCTGTACAGAACGACAACCTCGTTGTTCAAGGGAAGACTATCCTCACCAAAATTCCCGACAACATTATCCTTACTCCCCTTACGGGTAATGGTTTCGTTTCCGGTGCGTTTATAGGCGCAACCTTTGAACAAAGCAAGAGTCTCCATGTCTTCCCCATCGGTGTATTGGAGTAAGCACCAGACTTTTGCTTTCCTCTGTTATAGCGTCTCTCTATCAGTAATCTGAGCAATTCAAGTCTTTCGATAGTTGTTTAAGCTTTCAGTTTTTTTTTTCTAAATGTCCCACAGGGGTCTTCGATTTATGTGCTGTTTCCGGTTTAAACTATGGTGGATGACTCAGAGAATGGGAAGCTGTGGAAAAGACATTCCTTTGGAGACACAGTTCATGCTACTTGAGAGCAAGGATGAGGTTGAAGGGAATGGGGATGATGCTCCTACTATCTATACCGTCTTTCTCCCTCTTCTTGAAGGCCAGTTCAGAGCTGTTCTACAAGGAAATGAAAAGAATGAGATAGAGATCTGTCTTGAGAGCGGTTCGTTAATTAGTTGATCCTTTATATAACGAGCTTACAACTTTCAGATCTTAGAACTGAAATTTCGTTTTGGTTGGCTTTGTAATTGCAGGAGATAAGGCAGTGGAAACCAGCCAAGGAACTCATCTTGTCTATGTTCATGCTGGAACTAATCCCTTTGAAGTTATCAGGCAATCCGTAAAGTAAGTTTAAAAAAAAAAAATCCAAATGATCATGTTCTGTTTCTTGAATGTTATAGTTATCAGTGTTTTCTTAACCTCTTATCCTTTGTTATGTACAGGGCTGTAGAGAGACACATGCAGACATTTCATCATCGCGAGAAGAAGAAGGTGAGTTAACTTTTCATAGCTTTGGTCAACAGAAAGAGTTCACTCTGATTTGATATGATCTCCTCATTTTTTGTTTAGCTTCCTTCTTTCCTAGACTGGTTTGGCTGGTGCACATGGGACGCGTTCTACACAGATGTGACTGCCGAGGGTGTTGATGAAGGCCTTAGAAGGTACCTTATGGAAGTAGAGTGGCATATTGTTAATAATACTGATGATCGGTTAAATCTATGTAAGTTGATTGAGTCTCTGATGCGTTCTGTTTATTGCAGCCTTTCAGAAGGAGGTACACCACCGAGGTTTCTGATCATAGACGATGGTTGGCAACAAATAGAAAAGAAAGAGAAAGATGCAGACTGCGTTGTTCAGGAAGGAGCACAGTAAGATCTCGCG